GAAACACCAAAATTGTGCAGTGCAGGTCATTTCTATTACATCTGTACATTACAGAGAAGAGCAGTTGCATTAAAATATGATTTGAAATAATTAATAACTTAGTTAATTACTTAATTACTTAGTTAAGAGTGCATTATCAACCTCCTTTCGGTCAGTCCATCATGTTCATCTTTGTTTGTCTTATTTTGGCAACATTATCAGTAAAAGCTGTGAAAAATCTTGCTGGTCTCTGCTCAGACTTTTAAAGTGATGAGACCACAATCACAGTACACAGCCAACTAATGTACCAAAATATAATTACTAACAGCAAGCAATCTCCACAATAAAGAAATTTAAATTAAAAAATATATTTTTTAAATGTTTTGATTTTAGAAATTTATATTCTTTCAGAATTATAAAGAATTCCGTATTAGCTTTTATTTCAATGATCAGAAAATGTATGCAACTTCATGTAACATACAAGTTAGGTAAAAGTCATCACATATAAGTCAGAACATGCTGCTGAAAACAGCAGGTATCACAGCCAAAGCTCTATATCTTTGCATAGTTCACGTCACCTTGTATGTTTTAAATATTTGTTCCTGATTAGTTACATATCACTATGTTCAATTGTTTGATCATCATTCATATCTGCCAGCTTTAGGTGAGAAGTCATTGGTAATTCATAGAAAAGTGACGCGGTTTTGTGTGAAGCTCTAATTTTAATTGTGCATTTATAGAGAGGGGAAGTGTGGAGCTCAGAAGTCACACACACGTCTGACTCTGGGTAAATAATGTCAGAGCTACAGCTATCATTAATCCTCTGTCTTCTTTGACACTTACTGTTTGTCAGTGGAAAATAGCCTTCGCTCTTTTGATCTGCCCCTGGCTCCTCTGCCCTCCCACTACAATGGACATCAGCTATAGACAGATCTGAAAGTGCTCTAGAGCAGACAGCGGGGCTCGGTACCATGAACCAAGGTCATGATTAATATCAGCTAATATTTGTTAATGTCCCCTGAGCTCAGAGCCAGAGCATGGCTCCTCACCTCAGACTGGCTCCAGTGATCTCACTGTGTGTGTATGTGTGTGCGTGTGCACACAGCTGGGGGCTGCACAGAGCAGATTTAACTGTGTTTTCTCACACACTAGTGTCTGCTGACCTCAGCTGCTCATATTTACATCGACCCGCACCCACTGCACAGGAAAAAAGTAGGAAACAGGGAAAAACAAAACTGCAAGGAGGAAAATACAGAAGAACATAGCTTCACTGCCACCTGTCAAAACACATCAATAAATAATTTCTATGTGGTATGTAATATTGATCACAATCTATGTGTATAGGGAGTGTGGAGCACAAGTTTTGATTATTGAAGCAGATCAAATACATAAATGGAAAGTATTTATAGAGCCATTGCATCTGTTGTCAGAATTTGAAATGTGCCATTGAACGAAGAATGTTTGTAAACTTTTCTTTTTGGACATTATTATTATTGAAAAAAAAAAGTGTAACAAAAATAGAATTTACATTAAAAAAAAAAACTATTATTAACCCTCTCCAGGCAGACGTTGCAGATTTGCAACAGCTAAATGCCAATTACCTACTTACTCAAAATCCATATTTTATGAGCCTGTTTTTACTCAGGACCCTTTTTTAATGTTTTAATCTGCAGGTCAAAGTGTGCTACAGGTTGAATATTGCGCCATTTGAGAGACTTGGCTATTTACTGTCAATTTTATGTAAAATTTATTTACTAATTGACTATAGAAACTTCTATAAATGTAAACATTCACTTGCAGACCCAGCCAAACCTCTTGAAAAACCCAGTTTGGCCCCCGCAGGGCCCCCCTGAAATACAGTATTAGTTGTGTTTTAATGCCATAACTATCTGCTGCATGGAGCCCTGACATTAGCATGCTAAAGGTCCTACGTCTACAGAGAGAACCCAGGCGGGGGCTGAGGGCAATTACTGTCCCCGCTAATTCTTTTTATCCTTTTCAAAGAGAGGGTGATTAGAAGAGGAAAGTTTAGATTTCCTGAACTTGAAGTGGAAATGCCAAAGTGACAGACGAAGGCCAGGCCTCAATCCACATCTGGAGGACTGTGAGGCTTTACAGCCCTGGAACAAGGCTGAGGGCTCCAGATTTTATTTACACCTTTTAGTGTTGAATGGTGTTCAGTGAATTACATGGGCTTAAAATACTTTGACGATAAAATGATTCATGTATGATGTAAGATGTATTGTTAGTCACTCAGCAGTGAGTAAATATACAATACAATATTACACTGTCAGTAGGACAGCATCATTTTATTTTATAGAAGTTTATGTGAAGTTAAACACCACAACAGCTAGTGTTTGGTGCTGTTACCAGCCTCAGTCATAAATCAGAGATAAGTCCACCGTGTTACGGTACGTTTAGTGGGTGTTTTTTCTTCCCAGGCTTGACTCATCTGCCTCCTTATGTTTACCGATTTAGGCCACTCCAGCCCACTGGAAAATATGCCTGCTTATAACTGTCCCTTTGTGAAGCACCAGCCCTCTGTAATATTTCTCACTTAGGTGAGTGTGTGCCCAAGTCAGAGCAGAGGCTACGCAGCTTAACCCTGTGCTTACCAGAATGGTCTGAGCCCGGTGGAGCAGAGTGCTGTGGGAAACCTCAACGGGATCTTCAGGCACACTGCACCTTCTGCGCAGACGTTCGGTCACTGTGGGATGGAGACACGGCTTTACCTCAGATGGTGCTGCCAGTCACCTTCAGTCCTCCAGACCTCCAGTTCATGCCAGAAGTGAGCTAACCTGAAGATGTACAAAAAAAACCCCACATTTATAAAATATATTTATCAAAATATTGAAAATGTTACTACTGAGATACATCAACTGATTTTTAAGTTTATACAATTTAAATGCCAAAAATATTTTAGAAGACAATTAGGAGATTGCAAGATATTCAATAAACAGTTTGCCTAGTCTAAGAAGCCAAATGCTGAGGCTGAGGGAAAAATTATAAATTTCAAATTTCCTTCTTTCATAGTTCATTGTGATAGATGTAGATGACTTTTGGTTTTCCACTAATATCTTAAATTATGTAAAATTCAACCTGCCCCTCATTATAAACCTGCACTGTCCAACTTCACCATCCATCATTGCAACCTACATAGAGAGTAGTTTATAGTGTTGTAAGCTGGGTGAGTAGAGCCTAAGGCCTGTTTAATGGGGGTATGTCCTGTATGCGTCTTTAACACTCTCTGTCTCCAATATAAAACTCTCTCTCACAGACAGACGCAGGCTGAAGAGGAAGAGGCTGCTGAATGATATGGCATAGAAAGGTGTGAGAGATCCCCTTTACATTTATGGCCTCTGTGGAACTGGAGGAAGTGGTGCAGTAAAGTGGAGTCACGCTCCGCAGAGCTCACTTAGTTCCAAATCCAGCTCAGACACAAGAGCAGAGGGAGAGGCGAAGGCAGGAACAGAGACACGGGCAAGACAGAGGCAGAGCTGTATGATTTGGAGAAAATATCTTATTGCAAATTTTGCAGTTGTTAAAGTATAGCCAGTTTTGACTAGACTGATTTATGTTTCTGTTCAAAGTTCATATTTTAAATGCAGCAGAATTGACAAAAAGACACATGAACTTCATATGAAATATAAAATATAAACTGACAAACTGTTACAAGAATGACATTTTCAGTAGAAAATAAAAAAGAAACAGCAGCACTAGTTTGTTGTCTACTATTTCTTGGTTTGTGCTGTTTTTCTCTGTCTTTCTTCTCTGTGAAAGACAAATGTCTTCAGAAGAGTATAGGCTACTTGAACAAACCCAGAAGATTCCTATGAAAAATGATGAATTAATATGAAAAATACTGTATTTTGAAAATCACAGTGTACAATGGGGTGATAAAAATCTAAAGGTCAGATAAAAGGAAATGTTGTATTAGTGCATTTTGTCCAGCAGTCTGTCCTACTAAATAAGATGTTACTCTAAGATCTCACTATTGATTTTTTTTTTCAATAAAAATAAAAGCAAAATACAGAGTAGTTCCTGAGTGTATCCTAACCTTGCTGTAGAGTATGAGGAAGCCCCAGAGGTTGTCCAGAAGGCCCATTATGCTAATGCAGGCATCACTTGTGGGCCGTCCACTCTTTGGCACAACAGGAACACTGGGCTTTTCTAATGGCTGGCACTCAGTAAACACAAGCCGGGGCCCATGTGGATTTGAGACAACAAAAAGATTAGCTCTATTTTCAAATATACAACTGAGTTCAAAGACAAGAGGCTTCTTCATCTTTGTTAAAACACCCAGCTTTGAATGTGTAGGAAATCAGACTCACACTGGCATAATGTAAACACCAAAAATCCCAACAGTCCCTATATGTAGACTATGAAAATAATTTTGTTAGATTTTGGTTGAGTTTGTACGTATTCAAACGTGAAATCTAAAGTTAATTTTATCCATTAAATTTGGAAGGCCTACTTTTTGTTACATAATAATAATTTTGACACACATCTTGAGTTTGGGTATGCTGTCTTAGCAGAGAGAAGACCATTGTCTTCAATCACAAGTGTTGCCACAAGTCATTTTCTTGTGGCCTTTTCTTGTTACCTTTTGCTTTGCCGAAAAATATTTAGTTGAGTTAGTTAACGATTTCCTTTACCAAATAATTACACACATATTGCTTCATATATGTGATATCTGCCGTACGTATCTTAAATGCAGAAAAATTGTAAAAAAAAAAAAAAGAAAACATATATATATATATCTAGAATGAATGAGATGGTGTGTCCAAACTTTTGGCTGATAGTGCATGTCAGGCTGAGTGGGGATGCGCTGGTTGGAGAACCGTCATAGAGGCGAGGTGTGTGCAGTAAACTCCGCCCATACTCCCCATGAGGCCCCTGGGGGCCCTTAAATGCCGCGGCCTCGGCGCCTAGGGCAGAATAAATCGGGCCATACCTCTCTCTATCACCGGAATCATTGAGCTCTGTGTTGGACACTTACTTCAAACTTGTCGGAAATAACCATGACTTCTTCCAACCCCGACCAGCGCCTGGAGCATCTGCTAAGCGCCGTGGAGAGCGAGTTTCAGAAGGGCAGCGAGAAGGGAGACGCGTCCGAGCGGGACATCAAGCTCAGCCTGGAGGACAGCGACCTGTGGTCAAAGTTTAAAGAGTTAACCAACGAGATGATAGTCACCAAAACGGGAAGGTAACGAAAACATTTTATTATTATTAATATTTATTATTTTCATTTAGAAAAGCTTTCTGTGGTATAAAGGAAGAATAGGTTAAACCTCTGCTAACTAAGCTAGTTAGCTCACGTTAAGTACTCCGATTGAACATATTTAAACTGATAAAAGTATGTCACATAGGACACATTAGAGGCACAAAATAAGAAAAGTTCTAAAACGCTAGCATGTGTTTTCAGGAGAATGTTTCCCGTGTTGAGGGCCAGTGTCACGGGCTTGGACCCTAACGCCATGTATTCCGTGCTGCTGGACTTCGTGGCCGCGGACAACAACCGCTGGAAGTACGTGAACGGAGAGTGGGTTCCTGGCGGGAAACCAGAGCCCCAGAGCCCCAGCTGCGTGTACATTCACCCGGACTCACCTAACTTTGGAGCGCACTGGATGAAAGCTCCCGTGTCGTTCAGCAAAGTCAAGCTGTCTAACAAACTCAACGGCGGTGGACAGGCAAGATGCATTACAAATAGGCCTATCCTATACAAATCTTTATAGAAAACAAAATATTGGTGATGGCAAATTCTCATTCTGGTTTAACCCTTTTCCCCCCAGATCATGCTGAATTCTCTGCACAAGTATGAGCCAAGAATTCACATTGTGAAAGTTGGAGGCATTCAGAAGATGATTAGCAGCCAGTCCTTTCCAGAGACACAATTTATTGCTGTCACAGCGTATCAAAATGAAGAGGTAAATGAACCCTTCTAAACTCTATTATCGTTTAATACCTGTATAGTAAATTAAGACTGAAGTAAATGTTTTTATTTATGTTATTTTTTCATTGCAGATCACTGCTCTTAAGATCAAGCACAACCCTTTTGCCAAAGCTTTCTTGGATGCCAAGGAAAGGAGTGATCACAAAGAGGTTCCAGATCACAGCGCTGACAACCAGCAGTCTGGTTACTCTCAACGTAGGTTCTTTATATTTACAGTGTTTAAAATATATTTTTAATAGATTTATGTGTTATGTTATGTTCATGTTTTTGCTTGAACCTCACAGTTGGTGGATGGTTCCTGCCTGGCCAGACTCCGATCTGCCCCAGTAGCAGCCCACCTCAGTTCAGCAGCTCAGCAGGACACTCCTCTGGCTCTTATTGTGAACGATACTCCACTCTGAGGAACCACAGAGCCGCTCCATACCCCAGCCACTACTCCCACCGTACATCCAGCACAAGTAAGTCTTACTGTCTTTTATAACTAATTTTTAAATGGTTTGCAAAGTCATGGTTTTAATATTATTGAGTTTTTTTTAAAGACAATTACATGGACAACACCTCAGGAAGCTTGCCTACTCATGACAGCTGGTCTGCTCTTCAAATCCCCAATTCGTCAGGCATGGGCACTCTGTCCCACACCACCAACTCTACAACTAACTCAAGGTGAGCCTCATTTTCAAATATACTCTTAATAATCATAGTTCAGAAATGTCAATATTTAATTAAATCGGTCCCCTCTCTGCCCACAGTCAGTATCCCAGTCTGTGGTCAGTGGCCGGCACCACCCTCACCTCCTCTGGTTCTGCATCAGGCTCTATACCAGGTGGTCTGACCTCCCAGTTCCTAAGGGGCTCCTCATACACCAGCCTGAGCTCATCGCTGCCAGTCTCCTCGCCTTCATCCATGTATGACCCCAGCCTGGGTGAAGTGGGCGTGGGCGAAGCCCAGTTTGAAAGCTCCATTGCCCGACTGGCTGCTACCTGGGCGCCTGTGGCTCAGAGCTACTAAAGGGTCCCGAACAGAGACTGAAAATATGAAGGATTATAATAGAAGGACTCATAGGGATTCTGTTTTGACAATCGTGTTTCATTCCATTCCATCTTTAGATCTGCTTTGCTCTTACTGTACAAATGTCTTTTACAAATGTGCTTGTTTGAAAAAATTTTGAGCATGTTGCTTTTCTAACATTCCATGTATATGTGTGTATATAGAGTAACTTAACGCCTTAACATTGTATTATGCCTTTATACAGTGCAAATACCTTGCAAAATACTACTGAAGTGCCTTCTGGATCCTGGCAGAGCAGCCAGGATATTGCACAACACATGTATATATATATATATCTATTTGTTATTTATGTCATTTAATAATAAATTAAAATGTTTCATTTCTGAACTTTGTTTCCATTTCAGTTCTTGAATATTAATTACTGTCTGACAATATGACTGAATCTCTGATGAGAACAGAGTCAAATCAGTCTTCATGAATGTGAAGTGAAGTTGTGACGCCCGATTAGTGTGGCACCTTTTTGCTACAGTCTGCGCTGTGGTGTGAGATACAGCTGACATATACTGAACACCGACTTTAATACCAACACACTGACAACTAAACCACAATTAATTCAATGTATCTTTAATTTGCTTTAATATGATTAAGATTATTTGTATGCTGATATTAACATGAATTTGAATCAACTAAATCTATAATAAACATACACAATTTATACTTCAAAAATCAAGCTTGTTTAATTTTATATACATTTAGACTTCAAAGTTTCACATTTATTTTAAGGCATTTAAGTAATAGAAACAACAATACAGCATTGTTTTTATTCATTGGCCATGTTATTTAAGTGAAAAGTGTGGTAAAGTTATATGCAAAGCTGGAGCTGATTGGGTGCGTGGTGGTGATGTCAGTGGTGTGATGTTGTAGGGTCCGGCAGGGCAGTGATGGAGTGCTCCTCACCCAGGTGTAAATGAAGGCTGAGAGGTCATGGGGCCATGGGCAAACAGTAATGAAGCAGCAATGTGACCTGCAGCTGCCAGGGCCCGAAAGCACTAAGCAAAGGGCCAAACGCCACTTCACTACAGTGCTCAAAGTAGGAATCCTCAGCTTCAACAAAGTACAGGAGGGCTCTTTGTCCAAATGGAACAAGGAGGATACTTTCTTTCTTTGAATTCACAAAATTTGGACTTTACAAATATGCAGGCTATAATGGAAGGAAACACAGTTATTTATGGTGCTCTTTCATAGACAATTTATAAAGTAAGCCTATAAAGCTATCGACTTTAGTTTCAATATTAAGAATTTGACTGACTTGTTCTATTTTAATATCTATGGTTTTCACTCAGAGACAGTTTTCCCTCTTCATAACATTGGATTTTATTTCCAAAAGAAAATTTCACAAGTTTTGAACCTGTTCCTCTATTAGTGACAAGGCCACAGAACATGCTATAATGCTACAAATAGCTGGATTTTAACCATATTTGTTTAAGCTGCCCATGTCTATATTTAGTAGCTTATTCTTAGCCTGTATAATGTTGTATTGTCATCTGAAACACAGCAAAAGTGCCTCTTCAATAATAAAAAGCAAAGAAAATGTATAACCTACCCCCTCTAGTGGCTAATGACAGAAATTTTGCTTAAAAAAATAAATCTAAATCGAGAGGCCTACTCAGTGATTATAGATATTTGACTTAAGAACTAAAGTCAGACTAAAACCATAGCTTGAACACTACCACATTATGAATGATAAATAAGACTTCATACATTATGTCTTTGAGGAGTGCCCTGAAAGCCACTTTAATTTGATCCAGTCAGCATTACATTGTTAACAACAAGTATATGTGAGTCCTCACAAGCATGTAATAAGATATGAAGGTTTATTTCTATTCTAGTCATATATTTGATTGTTACCAGTAGTATTATGTAATAAACAAATGCCTATATAACAATACCAGTGAAGTAAATCTGCTCTCTACATTTGGTCTACTATTCTAAGAAATACAAAATAAACATTACTAGAACACACCCTGTCATTCAGTGTTTATTTATTTTTTTCTTATGCTTACTACTTTCTACATGTTAGATAGGCTTACATACAGAAAACATCAAATATATGAAGTAAGATATATGACATTATGTAGTAAAGAAAAAATCTTCAAGGACCCTACGAAATATTTTTCGACAAAGTAAATGGTGAAAGGATTCAAATATATAAAGATAAAATAAAACCATAGGCTATACATATATATGTGTGCTTCAATATTTGGGATTTAATTTGTTCTATATTTTATTTAAAACATACAACTGCAGTATAATGTTAAATATTCATGGAACAGACATTAAAGTGATGACAAAATATTCTAAAATAAATTACAAACTCTCTTAAGTGTATTCAGTTCACCAAACATGTAAATGTAAATTAGGCTTATAGTACTTTTTATTACCATTATAATATTTTCTGTATTCCTTATGATTTTGTACTGCTAATTATGCAATTGTTTTTAACTTTGACTTATTCTACTTGTTGGCGTACTTTGTGATTTCCTTGAAATGTCAAAAGCAATATAAATAAAATGTACTATTATTATTACAAATTAAACTGACCAAGCCTTGTGTCCCTCATCTGTGTGTGCGCCTGTTTAAAGGGACTCTCTATACTTCTCCAGGAGGATATTTGCCTGTAGTCTTTGTACAGTCCACAGTAGTAAACATGTTCTGAAGGATCCTGGGTCATCTGCTCTATCTAAACTCCATCCTTTGTCCTCTGTGATGGCTGCGGTGTGCTTAGTGTGCCCTAACCTGCAGCCTGTGTTGGTCCTGGCTAATTGATAGTTTGGATTTGAGCTTTACTCTTGGGCCGCCGCTCCTCCCTGGAAGTGTGTGTCTCAAATATGCTTTGCAGAGTGTGCCCGGCACCAAGGTGTGGAGGACTGGCCACTGTCAAACAACAGATGTAGAGATAAGGGAGTAATTGTAATGAAAAAAAAAAAAAAAAAAAATATATATATATATATATATATATATATATATATATATATATATATATATATATATATATATATATATATATATATATAGTAGCTTTTAAGTTTTAATTGTGCATAAAACAGATTAGACTACTAATTTCACTAAAGCATAGTTAAAAAAGTAAAAAAATCTTGAATTTTAGTTTTTTTTCTAATTTTAAAATTTTCGAGAAATTTATAATTTTGCTTTCTGGTTGAATGAGCAGCAGATATGAAATACATACGTACATAGAGTAACTGCACATCTATTACCTAGCAACCATAATGTTAATGAGGGCCAAAACTCTGTGTTTTCATTTATTTGTATTAAGCTTAAGAGTTGTTAGGGTGGACTCTCTCTGTAGTCAGCCCAGTCATGTAGTATGGACCCTCCACAACATTCTAAATCTCTCATGATTGAAAAAGTGTTGATTGCATGGGCAGATGTATTCTGTTTAACTTAGTGTTATTTCTTGTATTTTTGTACTTTTATACCCTTTTACTTCAAATTACCCAGAACATTCGGTAGAGTGTCACGTAATGATGAGCAACTGACAACAGTATGCAGATACAGAAAAATTAAGAGAAAATATGTTGAAATTAAAAGTGCACTGGGTACCTTTTTGGTTAGGGGTCTGTCACCTGCTTCTTTCTAAGGATACATCATTGTTCTGCCTGGAATGTTCCACAGTATGACATTAAACAACTCTACCTTACATTTATTAAATTACAGGTGGTTTTATAGCTGGAAAATACCTAGAAAAACAGACATTCTGACTGTGAGCAGAGTTGCCGCTTCACAGATCTGACCTGTAACTTGGTCTGGTTTGGTCTTCATGAAGATAGAATGTCATACTGTGAAATGTTCCAAACAAAGTGATAATGTCTCCATGGTGACAGACCCTCCACCAGAAAAGTTACAAAATGCAAGATTAAACTTTTTAAAATGTCTTAATGATTTAAAAATAAAAGTGAAAAATAAAGCTATATCAGATAAACAAAAATGTCATATACTTTCAGGAATTACCCTTGTGTTTGTCTCATATAACAAACAGTCTGTATGAGCTACATTATGCTATTATTTCTGTCTGATTTCCTATAAGGATCCGCCCTGTGCCAGAAAACCAGGGGTACAGTCTGGAGCTTGGAGCAGCCAGTGAGCTGTGTGGAGGGGAGGACTGTTTGTCAAAGCGGCCTCTGATGTTAATGAAGACATTCTGGTACCTGGGTGAGACATAGCTGTCAGCTGAGCAGACTGTGCCTTCTCCGTGCCCTCAGCCTCAGTCATAGTGCGGCCCCACCCATCTGCAAACACCAGCCACAGAAGCACGGCTCTCAAATCAAAGTAGTTTCTTAGAGGCTTTCAAACAATGAACAGTGATACAATGCTAATGTAAAAATCACAAAATCTTTCTAAAGGATGAATTCAGATGATAATAGGATGTCACCAAAAGTAGCTATTTTTTTTTTTTTTAATAAAAAGCTCTTCAAATTGTCTAATAATAATAATTGAAAAATTACTTTGTTTAGATATTTGATTAAGCTTAAACCTGCCTTTACATGCCCCTTTTTGAGTTTAGATATGTGTTAAATATACCTGTGAAGGCAGAATGTAATCAGTAAATTTGTCTCACTACCTATCATTAAACATCAATATGTATCCTACTTTTTAAAGGGCCCGCATTATGCTATTTCATGTTCTGTTTTAATGTTTCCTAGTCAAAAACATATCTAGCGTTGCGTTTTGTTTCATTCACACATATTTAGGCTGAGTTTCTCTCTCGAACTGAAAACACTGTTCCACCTTGTGATGTCATGTGGTAATACAGGAAGAGCTCCACTGTGAGCTCCATATGCCTTCACTGGTTGAATGATTTAGATGGTTTCAGCTCTGGATTTGCCAATCTCTACTAAACTGAAAATAAAAGGTAACATTACAAAGTGGAACAGAACATTTTGTGTGATATAGGACCTTTAAATTACAGACTCCACTGCCTAACAAATTGTTAGATTGAAAGGCCTAGAGTTGGTATTCAAGAAAGAAAAAAAAATCGATTTAAAAAAATAGAACAGCTACTTGAATTATAACAAGCCCTTTTTTTGACACGCTGCTTGAGTGTATATGCATGTGCAAAAATCACTAGTGCCTAGATGAGACAGATGAGTGAGCGGTGTTTTTGAACTACATGAGCCATTTCACACATTAGCAGCACTCACTAGTCTACAGAAGCTAATGCATGTCGGGCCTGGTCTGCACAGTGATGCCGACAGCCTCTCACCAGCCTGACAGGCCAGTCCAGTCAGATGTGGACACTCACGCCAGCCCAAAAGCCTTGTTAGCAAACTGCTCTGCACTGAGGGAGCATTTAGCAGAGGTCCATGAGATCAGTGTGGTCTCAGTGAGAAACAGCCCCTTCCACTCATTGGTAGAAATGTGATGATTGTCTTCAACATTTATCCAACATCCAGAGCGCTGCTGCTCAGATCCTGACTCAAACCAGGAAGCACAAACACATAAGTCCTGTGCTCAGGTCTCTGCACTGACTTCCTGTGTCTCAGTGAATAGACTATAAAGTGGCTCTGCTTGTGTTCATGTCTCTGCATGGCCTAGCAGGTACATCTCTGAGATTTTAGTGCCACATGAACCATGTGGCATGAAGACCTCAGAAACTGGCCTCCTGCTGGTGCCCAGAATCAGAACTACTCAGAGAATCAGGATTTCTGTTTTAAGCAGCTAAAATCTGGAACAGTCTTTAAGTCCAGGCTCAAGATGGTTCTGTTTAGCTGTGCATAACTGATTAATTTACCATTTACCAAGCTTTAATTTTGCACTCTTCTCGTTTAATGTTTATTTTCATAATTACTTGTTTTTATTTGTTTATATTGTGATTTTAATGTCTTTATTATTCTGTTAAGCATTTTAATTAATACAAGTACAACTTGCCTTGCCTTCATACTTAAGTGGAGAGAAGTTGAAAATTTTAAGAATTGATCTGCAATGAATACTGACCAAAATAAATGTAAGCCATTTCAAGCTCTCTCACTGTAAGTGAAATAAAATATGGTTACCATTTACATTTAGCTATCTGAAAAATGTTGTGCTTTCAAATCTGAAAATCAATAACTTAAAAGGCAATAGTGACCCCCAGTGTGCAAAGCCAATCACTGACAGAGATGTGTGAGTTCTAATTTGAATAGACAAAGCCTAATTTAATAATCTTATGAGGATAAAGACTTTAAATCTAACACAAACTTTTTCTCTAAATACAATGACTGATTTAATATTCTTTTATTTAAAAAATCTTTTCAAATATTTAACAGACATGCAAAAGAATATGTTACCACAGTTCTTGGACTAACAATAATAAAGAAATATTAAACTACTCAAGATTAAAGAAATGTGTATGAAGGAGCTAAACCTAAATGTTGGTTTGAATTGAATCTTTGATTTCTAAGCAGCAGAACCGTGAACCTCAGCTGAACTTGGCTTTAGAGAAATCCATCTCAGGGTGCTGCGCCATGAATCTGCATAAGACAAAATATGACTCATAAGTTAGTTAGAAAAATAAAAATTGTTAACCACAAATTAAAGTAACATGAGAACTAACTTTTTGAGGATGTCTTGTTTCTTTTGCTCTTCAGATGTGGGCAGCCCCATTGATTTCTGCCGTTGATCATACATCATTTTCTCTACCATGCCACGTGTCTCTCCATCCAAGTCTGACAGCTGGGCAAAGACCAAAGACAACATGTCAAAAATAAACACTGAACTGATAAAACCACCTTCTATAACAGTAACTAGTTTGCAACAAAATGTTATGCAATGATCTACAACATTCTGAAATTTTTAATTTTTTATTTCAATTTTACACTTGCTTTCTTATACAACCTTGAATCTTATATATCCTATCACAAAAAGAGGCCAGTGATAAACTGTGTTATAAATTTGGACATTTACCTTCGAATTTTCAGGACAGATTTTCTTGGTGTTTATTTCTGGGTCTGTAGTTACCAACTTGCTCCACCATTCCATTGTGTTTATCTGAAACCAGCAGACACACAATTGACAAACTCCAAAATGTAATTAAAAGATCTTCACATGACACTAAAATGTACCTTTTCCAAATGCACACAAACTATTTTCCCGTCATCAAGAAGCCAGGAGCTTTCTTCCACCTTCACCTCATTGTACAACTGCCCTTCGATAATAGGCGGGTGTCCTTTCAGTCCCACCTTAAGGCTACGCCGCTGGATATCCACAACCACGTCGCGACCCTTGATGCGGAACTTCACATCAAAAGGAATGGATATCTATAGAAAACAAGTTATAGACAAAATTTAGATCCAGCTTAAGATGAAATGGTTTATAGGATGCATATGAGACAGCCACTTACGTCCACTTCTGAGAGAGACTGTGTCCACTTGTAGTTAGAAAGGTCTGCTCCATTCCCTGAATTAGGTTTCAATTTATCTTTATCCTTCTCATCCTCTTCTCCTTCTGAGTCAGACTGACAGTAAAGTAAAAGAACAAGATTTCATTACTATCACAGATCTTTCTAAACCATAAAACTTAGTAATGCAAATATCTTATAGGGGTTTCTGCTTTGTTCTCTGGGAGATAACATTTGACATTCCTGGTCATTTTTAATGGTTTGTTATAAATAATATACTTAATAAATAAATCTCTTATCGCTAATTAGATTTTTTATTCTATTAATGACCATTAGACCACGGTCAGTGAGAAATCCAATGGTTAACTGCTATGTGTTAATATGGCATAACGCATAAATCGTTAAATGTGTATGTTACTGCTCTGTGACCATCGCTATGACATCACCATAGCAACAGATAAACAAATGCTCAACTGCTTTTAAATTGAGGATCTAGATTCATTAAAACACAGAAATAAGTGATATTTTAGAGGTTTACACACAGGGAACAGACTTTACAGATTCACTGGTGAGACATTTCAGTTTGTAGCTATAGTATAAGTGCATGAAACAACTTGGAGCTCTGTGCAGCTTTAATGACTCCGTGGTGTGAGTTAAAACTGCATAATGCACGGCTCCTTGTGTAATGCTTACTAAATCTATAATCATTCCACCAATATTTCTGACTCAGTGTAATGAGAAAGTTTAGATTTAGAATTGTTAATACATTTGAATAGACTGGCACACAGGTGTCAACTGCTGGATTAGTACATTATGTTTTCTTGAATCATACACACCTCCTTTTCTTTTTCAGTTTTGTCTAAGGGTTTTGCTTCAACTCCAGCTTGCATCCTCTCCTCCTCCTTTTTTTTCTAAAAAATACAAAGAAAAATGCACGGATTATGAATCATTTTTTAAAACAGAGCAACTACACATGTGTTTAGTGAATACCTTGTCCAGTTCAGACTGAAGCTTCTCTGCCTCTTCATCTGTCAGTTCCTGAATTTTAGGTCCATCATCTTTCTTCTTCTTCAACTCCTCTTCGGCTTTCAACTTGGCAGTTCTCTCTGCCTTTTCCTTCTTTTCCATCTCCTGTTTCTTCAGCTTTTCTTTGTGAGCTTTTAATGCTAACTTGCTATGACGATCAAATGCATCTTTGACCAGCTAATCAAAAAAAGAAAAAAGTATAACATAACAATAAATATAATGTAGAATAAAGGGTGTGCCTTGTCTTGTGTGTCTTGAAATGAATGAAACGGTACCCACCTTCTCTGGCGCTCCTTCTTCACCACCAGTGAAGAAATCTGTTTTCCGTCGAAGGAAGCTGAAAAATGTGTTTACTAGCTGTTTGAAAATCAAGACAGGAAAGCAATCCAGTTACATTTAGTACATGAGTATGATACAGTCTAATGAACCAGGCCATTCTAGAAATTTCTTCAACATGCTAATCAAAGTAAAAGACTTGTACGGGCATAGCTAATTAATGATTCTATTAGAGTTGCCTCATTTCTCATCCATAACACAACGCACATGGACACACAAGATAGCCCAGTCACGTTAGAGCTTTAATACAAATGATAGCTTTAGCATGTTAGCATCATATTTAACATTACCTCGTGTACTCCTCCGTCGTGTTGCTGGGCCATGACAAGCAACATTCCGTCATACTTTTCTTCATCGTCACCCATGTTGTTTAACAAAATGGTTTAATACGCTGTCCGTTAGATAAATATTTTTAATAATGGCAATACAAGTTTATAATATCGGAGATGGAGTAGAGTCGGTGGTGGTGCACTAGTCACGTTAGTCACTTCCGGGAAATACACTCCGCCTTCTTTTGAGTATACCAATAGAAGACGTGTATTTTTAATGTTTTTTTTTCACCAGAAATGATGATCACAAATGAATGTTGTTCTAACCTTTTTTAAAATAAGAACATAACAATATAATAAAATAAAATACATTACATAAACAATTTATTCATCTTTGCAGTGACATCATGCTGGGAGTGTTCTACATGTACCTCTAATGGTGGAACGTTTAGGAGTTACCATGGTGAGACAATGCACACATTTGCAAACAGTCAAGAACGCTTTGAGATTCTATGAAAACTCACGAAAAATCCAAAATTGATTTAAAGGTGTATTGTGGAACTTTTCTAGTGGAGGGTCTGTCAAAAGTTTTGTTTTTTTCATAGAGATGTTATTGTTTTGTCCGGAATCCTTTGCAGTATGGCATTAAACCTTTCAATGTTCATGTAAACCAAATCAGACTAAGCTACAGGTCAGATATGTGGAGAGGCAACATCGCTCATAATCAGAATGCCTGTTTTTCTAGGTATTTTTGAGCTATAAAGCCACCTGTAATTGAATAAATGTAAGGTAGATCAATTTAATGTCATTCTGTAGAACATTCTAAGCAGAGCAACGACATTTTCAGCAGGCTGTGATCAATACAAATGGCCCTACTCACCAAAAATGGTGAGTGTGAGTAATTAAAAAACTGTTGACTAGTTTGTGACTAATTTTATGTGTGAACGACTTTAACAGCATAAGTAAATTCGTTCTGGTCAGATTGTGTTAAAATAAACATCAGATTAAAGTCTAATAAAGCCTCAGACAGACTAGAGCCTAGAGGTCACATCACACCACCAGGGAATGTTGATGAAATCAGCTGCAAAGCATCAATATAAAAAAATCCAACCCTTTCATTTAAATATTTAGTGCATGGTAGCATGTGGGACTAAACCCGTTGATGCTCCCATGCTAAAATGACATTCATAAGCATGGAAAACATATTTCTATTATGTAGGCTGTAGGATAAAAGATAAGATAAAAGCCTTATTCCTAATCATGTCACAAAAATGATCCACAAGGCATACAATATTGTAAGGTTAAACAAACCAAATTAGTAAGGTATCAAGTTGGCTATATAATTTCTAAGTAAAATAAATCTGAAAGCTACAAAGAGTTTATAAAAAAATAAGGAATACAAACTAACTCTAATAGAAGATAAAACATGCAGTCTTTTGTTCCTACAAGCTAGTTTCCAAAATTTGACTCTCACGATATTCAGTTACCATGGCTTTCATGTGAGGACAGGGTTTCCAGTCAGTCCTTCTCAGCAGCTTTTGAGACTTGTCAAGTGGATCAAATCTCGACCTGAAGCCAGAAAGGAACCGTAAGTGTTAGCTACATATAAATATTAAAAATCAATCAATCAATCAATCAGTAAATAAAGCACTTACTTTTTAAGATGTTTTTCAATTGCTTTCCGTTCATAAACATCTTTATATTTTGTTATCACTGGATCAACATAGAGTTTCTTGGTGAGTGGACAGGTGAGTTTTTCTGGTAAAGGCTTCACAGTTTCAACCAATGTCTGTTATCATGAAAAAATATCATATACTACCAGCAATGGAAAGCGTTCTGAAAATTTGTATTCAAGCAAAAGTACAGTTACAGTTACTTGGCTATACTCACTTAGTAAGTTTATGCAAGTAAACATGAAAAATAGTACACATGAAAAATACTACATAATAGTTATGCAATTTTAAAACCATGCTTTAATGCAAAAAAAACAAAACTTCATAGCGCAACCTGTGAACGCTCAATGGAGCCTTGATTAGGTGATCTCCTGAATATTTTTTAGAATTATCCTGTTTGAACTTTAAAACTCCACAAAAAAGTACAACTACCTCCAGACCACACTATCTACATCAGTTACTGGTAATAAGTGGTAAGTTACTGGTAAGTTAGTAAGTTCTTTCCACCTCTGTAAACTACAGAACAATTACAGACAAATAAATCAAGACCATAACATTATAAAGTGTCAAGCAGAAGCTCTTATTACTCCTTTCATTTGCAATTAATATTTTTGTACCTTTTCCATTTCATCCAGTGATTTCCCAGCACTCTTTTGAGTGTGTTTTTTGGCTTCTTCGTCATACTTCTTGGGACTTGTCAGGTACTCCTCAGCCAATATGCTAAAATTTTTTATTGTTGTTATTAGACAAGCTTACATATATTTCTATTTACATCTAACAATGACATATATTATAGTCATTAAATATAGTTAACTTTTTATAGAATATTGATGTTGCTAATGATTCACACCATACCTGTCCAGTGGATCTTGAGGTTCTGGAGCAATCAACAGTCCGTAAACAGCATTAAGGATCTCTCTCATCGTGATGTGTGCGTTGTATCCACGGTCAAATATGTTGTGGCAAATGCGACCCACATTGTTGATATTGCAGTGATATATCTTTGTTCATGTTGAGAAAGTAATTTGAAATCAGACAATTCTAGAAAGTACAGATGGATAACTATGTGTAATAAAGTTTATTTTCAGGATACAGAAGTGATGAAGCGGACTGTTGGTGGTTTCACTGGGTAGTCAGGACCAAATTGACAGAAGAGCTCAAACACTCCAGTCTCATAAGGTGTATCCGGAGGGCCTTCCATAAGAAGTTTCCAAAATGCTGTATGTGAATTATTTAAAGGATTATTGAAAAGTACAGTGTATAAATCTGTGCACATGCCAAATGCATCTTGACTTACTAAAGTCTGTTTCTGATGGGAAGATTTGAAAGAAAGGATGTGGATGACAATGCAGGTTCTTCAGCTCCTCCAAGATCCTTCTGTCCCTCTCCATGAAACGTCCATCTTTGGCCTCATGAATTTTCTTTTTCAGTGCACTATGTCAAAGCTTAAAGTTTACAGCCCTGCACATTCTCATTATAATGGTTAATAAGTTGAAGCTTGAGTATGCTTACTCTTCTGTCACAGTGACTTTATTGGTCACCTCACTGGGCAGAACAGCCTCTGGGATGCCATCATATCCACGAACTGCAAAAAGTCCTTTTAGAAAATCCTATTGAACAAATTATGCTATTATTTTACATTTTAAGAAATATGGTACTTTTAAGTAGATAAAATTTATTAAAGCACCACCACGTGACATTTCATATCCATGAAATGCAAAAAGTCCTTTTAGAAAATCCTATTGAACAAATTATGCTATTATTTTAAATTTTAAGAAGTATGGTATTTTTAAGTAGATAAAATGTATTAAAGCACCACCACGTGACATTTCTGGTGGCGAGTATACCCTCTGTAGTACTTCATGGAGATAGGAACTTAAAGCCATACTTTACAATCTCTGTGGATATTGATACATTTTATGTCATACTGTGGATTGTCCCAGGCAAAGCAATAAACATTTCCATGGAGACAAACAGGTGATGTGCCCACGTCCAGGCAAAACCACTCATAATAAGGATGTATGTTTTTCCATTTTTTAAAGGCAATAAAACACTCACAGTGAAATTAATGCTTTTAATTTTAACTTACATTTTGGAGTAAAATGTTCTGTGGTGGAGCCTAAATATTTTATTACCATGGTAACAGAGGTGATATCTGCTTTGTTCTTCATCTTTCGAATGCTATAAGACAGAACAGTTTCTGTCTCAAATAATTTGAGACCATCTTTGCTTGTGTCAGGTTTAAAACAACAGCCACCTAACAGAAGAAAAGAAAACTATATAGTTAAATGCTGTTGTTTATTTAACTCATAGGTAGAGTTTATTTATGATCAAGGGTACACATAACATATAACATATTTATTGTTTTTGAAAGAAAAAATCTTCCCATAATTGAATCTTATCATTATTTGTAATAATAATTTGCTCCAGAAACGTAATCATCTGGATTGTTGTTCATTACAAAATATTCAAACTGAAGGCGAGCTTACCAGTTGCAATGCTGATTCCGTGAAGCATATGGTTCTCTACTTTTCCAAGAAGAACTGAATCCAGAGTGATGTCACATTTGATCAGACTGACAGCAACATCATCTGGCTTATATTTGGATCTATTTACAAAATATAGCAGAAGAATAGAATATCATATTCTTAATGAAAAAAATTAATATTAAAGCACATCTGATATTATCTGATACATTTGCACCAATGGCAGTAGTTGGCTGCACTTTGCCTATCTGGCTGACACACTGAGCAGCTTTTGAAACAATTTTTTTTTTTTTTTTTTTTTTTAGCTTTTAAGCTGTTTTAACATCATATCCATCTTTATACATTACATTCATTACCCAACATCATTCCCGTCTGTGAGGCACAGAATGCGCAGGACACAATCTGGAAATTTTGCCTTGACTTTTTCTAACTCGAGTCTCCCATGCTCAAGAGCATCATAAAGCAGTGTGCGTCCACTTGGCTGAAGATTCTGAACACTATCCTGAAAACACAAACAACCTTTAGTGCAATCACAGCAGAAAGACAGAATGCAGCTTCATATTATTAACCTTAAATGTTTCAAGTGTTTCTGTGAAGGTCTGAAGAGTTTTCACTGCAGAATCAAATTTCACAAGGCCAATGATGTGATGGAAATCATACGCCATGCTCCGATTGGCAAAGTTATTGAAGAGTTCTTTGACAGCATGAATCTTTTGGATATCCACACTTCCATAGCACTTCTCATTCATAGATGAGCTTGTATCTATTAGCACCTGTCACAAAAACCAAATATTACATATGCATTACAGAGTTCATTTGGTGAATATTCTTGGCCAATCAGTCAATACTATGTTAAAACATTGTGTATGAAGAAAATATAAATAACTTTTAATTTATTTTTTAAAATAGTTGTTTTATATGAATGTGGACATTTAATGTACAGTATACAGAAACATGTACTGTAAAATCACAAGCAAGACATGAAGTAAAGTTCTGATTTTAGCTGTACTTTTTCACATTTTACATCAATAAATAAATTAACAATACAATAAAACAAATACCAAAATAGCTTCTTTTGGGATTCTGATTGTGGCCAGAGATTGATCTTTTCTGTGATCTCCAGATCTGCAAAGAACAAAATTTAAAGGAATATGGTAATTACCAGCTTTAATTTTACAGTCATTGCAATTTATTTACATTTACATTTCATTGCAATCACTGTATCAACTATTATTATGTTTATGTTTACTCACTGTGCAGCCAAAACATCTACATCCACATTTTGTGTTTTGCCAGACAGACAATCATACACAGTTATTATTTCAGGCTTCAACTTGTCTTTGTGCAAATAAACACCAAGGTTATCTGCAAATGAAATAATTCCTTTCTTATAAGTTACAAAAGATGCACAGTTTGTAGGAGTATTTATTATGTAGTCTGCATTATATTTTAATAATCTTCTAAAGTTACCATGACTGATCTAGCCAGCCAATGACAAACAGAGTAAAGAACATAATATTTGTACCTTTGCTAAGGTACACCAAGCGTGTATCTTGTTGTCCCAGATCCTTCAGCAGAAGTGGAGGAGTCACATGGAGCAACGGAAAAGCCTTCATTTCCTCAGTCATAACTTCAAGAGTCTTTTTTGCTTCCAGCTGAAAGCTAGAGTTAAACAGAATAGAATATACATCTTTAACTAAATTATTCTATTCAGAAAGCATTCTTTTTTAGCAAATGACATTCAACATACTTCTGACCAGACACACTGTCATGAGAAATCCACAAGTGATATGTTCGTATTGATGGATGAACACTGAGCAGGATTTTCTCAATGTCAGTGCATCTCTTCAGTGAGGTGGACATCAGTACCTGCTCAGTGCAGAGTGGGATAGTTTCATTGTCTGAAAACAGTAAAAATCATTGATGACTTTGTATGGCTAGAAACGATGCAATCTTCTCTCTAACCCAGTCTCTAACCCAGATGGCTGTGGAGGATGAGATAAATGAATGCCAGACAAACTGTACCTCTGATTATTTGCAGTACATCTGCCCTCTCCATGGTCCCTGGCAGCCCAGGTACAGTGACTGGTTCACAGAAATGCCTGCCATTCTCCGAAAATAGTGACACTGGTGCATAGATTTCATGATGAGAGTGACCTTTCTATTCAACAAAAAGTGTACAAGTTGAAAGAAAACACAAATCCTTTGCTTCAATGATAAGTAATATGTTCCAGTCTTAGACCTTGGTTTCTGACATAATATAAGACCAGCAGAACAGTGAATGCTCAAAGACTTCTTGGTCCTCTATGATCCTGCCTCCATCACAGGATTCCAGTTTTGGGAGGATCTCCCGAAACAGTGTGTACAAGCCTTCAATCACTGCAATCTTATGTATACAAATTGGATGAACATGCATTATGTACTGTGCATTTCAAACAGTGGATCAAACAATTACATTATCTACCTTTTGAGACCTGGACAAACTTTGATTCTTCTGCAGAATCTGATGCAGACTTTGGGCAAGGGGGTTGCATCCAGTCACCTTTCGAATGTAGCCAATGAGGTCGCCATGTTGGACAACAGGAGCATTATTTTTCTAGAAACAAAGAAAGAAAGTGTATATATGCACTTACATATATCATTAGAGGACTTCATAGTGATTAAAACTGTGATATTTACAATGACATAAAGAGAAGCAAAGAAAACACTGATTCCTTTTTTGGTTTGCTGAACCGAGGGTGTAATGTCATTTAAAAATAATGTATTTGGCTCCAGGGGATCCTCAGTAAAGGAGGACAGAGAGAAATTCAGTGTTGCCCCCTCTGTGATGCCAAGTCCAAACAGAGTACTGCCAGAGCCATTGTCACCCCTGTAATCAAAATCCAAAAATGCTTGAGTTTGCTATTGCTACCTACAACTAGTAGATACTCACCTGTAATGAAGAACATTACTTGGAATTCCACTTATCCCACTAAGCTTGTTCTTCAGGTTTGCAACTGTGTCAGATGCCAAATCCACATTAACTTCAAAGTCTCCCTGTAAAATAAAAGTGACAAAATTTTTACTACATTAATTTAGAATTAAATGTTTTCACCAATTAGGCTATATAAAGCAGAATATGAGCATACCTTTAGCATAACATGACAGCGGACAGTATCAGTTCCCAACACTTGGTCCGGACTCTTCAAACTTTTTGTTGATGTCAGTAGATTTTCTTTGGAAGTAAATATGGCATAGATGACATCTCCACCCTTGATATGTCTGTCCTCCAAAGACCCTGTGAGTGATAAAATATAGTATGAGGAATCTAGGCCAAATACAGTTGATCTTTCTAAACAGCTTTACTCACATGTGTTGAAAAAGGGGTCGTCAGTCAGGGGCATTCCATCCACTGTGTAGAGGCAGACTCCTTTAGAAGAACCAATATTCTCTGCATGCCCAATCCTCAGCATCAGATCTTCCACTGTGTTCTGAGCAGGATCCATATCTGCAAGATAAAGAGAAATAGTTGAGTGTCAGTAGCCTCTTTTTATTAGACCTTTGCCACAATTTACAGCACTAAATATTTAGTCGTAGTAGTGACATGTGCTGTGCTTATCTTTATCTGCCGTCCCTATGCAACTTTGCAGTCAACTACAGACTAAGCCAAAGGTAGCCTAATTAAGGACCAACCCCTCCCATCTGATAGGAACTGAATTTTCTCTGGCCCATTTTTATATTAAAGTGACTTGTTTTAATATTTTAAGTAGTATATTTCTTTTTAAGTATCTCTTTTATCAAATAATTGTTAATAAAGTCTAATTCCTGATTTTAGTCTAATTATGTAACAATAGTAAACAATTATGAGTTGTTTTTAGAATACTTTTACATCTTATTTGACATAAGTATATATGTCTATAGAAGTTCTTGTTATTGTTGTCATATAAAAATAATAGAACTCACTCTTGGGTGCAGTATCAACAGTATCAACACACTTCAGGCTATAGATTTTATGGGTAAGTCCGTTAAAAATTATGAAGACACAAACCATAGTTATTTCATACCTGAGATGATCTTTATCTCTGGACACAAGGGATAAGTGTACTTTAAAGAGAATGCTTTCATGGACTTGTGCACACGTAAAGATGTATCTGGTACAGGAGCTCTGAGTCTGCCAATGAACCTCTGCATCTCTCTGAAACGATTCTTCTCCACATGAGTCAGCCCTGCTCACAAATAACACAATGGGTAAACCTGCTGTTAGGTTTATCTAGACATTTAAAACAAATGAACATTTTCATAAAAAATAATAATAAGTAGTTACCAAGGCTGGTCAGGTCTTCTTCAGTGACACTGTCAATAAAATCTTGTTCATCTTTCACTCCTAATTTTTGAAATGATGAATAGTAGGATTCCAGCCTGTGCTTCTCCAGCAAACTGTAAATCTTGTCCATCTGAAACCCCCCCCCCCCAAAAAAAAAAACCACTGTTGTGGTAAAATAAAATGTAACTTAACAGTAATAACTACTAGTAGCAGCTACTTGTAAGAACTTAGTTGAAATGAAAACTTACCTTAGCATTACAGACATAAATTGGGTCATTTGCTTTCTGTTTGTTTAAAGTGTGTCATTTAAGGAAAGTGAAAGTTAAGCAGACCCACGAAAACTACTTTCGAATTAACTATGATAGACTTATTGTTTAAAAGGAAACAACTTACTAAATGTTCAGGTAAGAAGTTTAAGTTAAAGTTAACTTGGTGTGCCAATTTTATATATATATATATATATATATATATATATATATATATATATATATATATATATATATATATATATATATAATATATATATATATATATATATATATATATATATACATACACATACATACACACACACACACACACACACAGTTTTTTAGCACAAAGCTACGCATGAATGAAACTTGGAACATGTTCAGGGCAAAAAGACTTACCTCAAACCTGGACGATGATTCCTGATGACAGACCACGGCCACACCGTTTAAGTAGTAGTAATAGTTGCACTGCACGGGCACTCCCGTTTAAAGTTCCTTATATACAACCTGTTGACTTGCTCAGCCAAAGTGAAAATGAAACTTAAGACTACTTGGACAAGGAAACCACCATGATTTTTTATATTATAATATAAACAAACAACAATACATTAATACAAACAGACAACAACATATGTTTTTATGTTAAAATTCTATTTTGCCATAGAAGTACACCTGAAGTGAAAAACTGAAATGAAAAAGTCTTCCCCTCCAGTGTGAACACATAACTATCAACTGCCCAGGTTTGAGGAGGCTCTTGATGCAGTTGTACAGCTGATTAAGGAATGGACCTCAGCAGTCAAATTGAGGATGAAAGCTCAAATTATGGAGTATCCCAGCAGAAATATGAAGAGGGTGTGAGAATAGACCATAGAAATAAGTTGGAGGCTAAGGAGGGGTAGGGAAGAGGGGGGAAAAGGACAAAAGCAGAGCATGACAAAGAGAAGAGTGATTATGAGTAAGACGAAGAGGAACAGGAGGACAAATACAAGGAAAAAGAAATGAAGAGAAAAGAGGATGGACAGAAGGAGAGTGAAGTGGAAAAAAGGAAGAACTATCTAGGGAAACTACATTATGAAATTACCAAGTCATCAAAACACTGTTTGTACCCCACCTGTTCTAATTCCTGGGGTAAGGAGTTATGGTTTAATCAGAATTAGTTTGCCTGGGTTGATGTGGAGTTTTTTTTTTTTTTTTTTTGGAACTTTATTTTTAAGAAGGTTTTAGGGCATACAAAGAATAATGAAGAAACTTTACAAATCAAGCAAGATTACATGTACAATCAACAGCTCACATATCACGATTCATTGTTCATGGATTGTATGTAACAGTCCCATCTTTTCCAATGTTTTTCTCCCTTGTGTCGTTGTAGGCGAAGACCGAATGTCATGGTTTCCATTGTTCTGATTTGTCCGATAATTTGTCTCAGAAGTCCCATTGTAAGTGCCTCCTTTTTCAGCCAGCATTTTGTAATTGCCTTTTTCCCTGAAACAAGAATTACTCTAAATAGATATGCATCAGATTTACTTAAGATGTGGAGGAGTTTGATGGTCTCTAGGGTTTGTCTGCCAGTGCTTCAGTGTACGTAGTGTTTTCCCATTCAAAACACAATGTAGCCTAAGTGACTGTAGGCCTATTGGTTAAGAGGAGCTGTGGATCTATGCAAAGAGGCTGCATGATCTGTGCAGCCTACAGGCTATAGGACTACTGTCTATCCCCAGCTCTATCAAAGTGGTTATGAATGTATGTATGATAATGAATGAATGAACAAATAAATTTTATTATTGTGTTGTAAGCGAAAGTTAGTTTAGAGTAGTAGAAGTTCAACAGGTAGAGAGATGTTAAGTGATTCAGTGATTACATAAAGTTGGGAAATATCACACAACAAAAGTAACTAAAAAGTAACAGTAACATTTTCTAGACATTATTGTAATACTAACATAAATTTGACATTTTTAGCACTGCATCCAGTAATATATAATACATAAAACATAATGTATTACAATTTTAGAGTAACTTGCTCAACACTACAAGAAATTGCTTGAATATGCATAAGAGAAAAAAAGGCTTTTTTTTTTTTTGGACATTTCAAGAAGCAATGATCACCAACTGTACAAGACTTTACCAAGTAACTAAAACTTCCTTTTTAGAGTCCATTTCTACAAAAGCTTCAAATTATAAACTTTTATAATAAATGTGCACGAATGGTGCCAATACCAAGTAAAACTAAAATGTAATGACGTGTTGACACTAGAGAGTGAAACACAAGATAAGCAAGGCAGGGCTAAACTTTGAAAAGAGCCAAACTATTAAATGAACATTCTACAAAGGAAGAAATGTAGGAATGTGCACTATTTTTTTCCCCTACAAGGTAGTTTCCAAAATTTGACTGCTGCGATACTCCGTAACCATGGCTTTCATGTGAGGACAGGGTTTCCAGTCAGTCCTTCTTAGCAGTTGTTGAGGCTTGGCAAATGGATCATATTTTGATCTGAATCCACAAAGTAAAATATTAAGTGTAGGTTATACAACGAGGCATTAGATTTTAAATTAAAATGGGTACTTACGTTTTGAGATGTTTTTCTATTGCTTTCCGTTCATAAACATTGTTATATTTCGTTATCACTGGATCAACATAGATTTTCTTGGTGAGTGGACAGATAAGTTTTTCTGGTAACAACTTCACATTTTTAACCAGTTTCTGTTGAAAAAGAAAGCAAAATATAATACTATCATATACTATTCAAACACTTAATGATTTCCACCAAATGTAACTACTAACTACTAACTCTAGCACTAAATAACTTTTTGCAGTGAACCTTTTCCATTTCATCCAGTGATTGCCCAGCACTCTTTTCTGTGTGATTTTTTGCCTCTTCTGCATACTTCTGGGGATTTGTCAGGTACTCCTCAGCCAGAATGCTGCAGCAAGTACATTTGTATTTTACCGACTTATTTTTACAAAATGTTGTTGCTAATGATTTACTCTATACCTGTCCAGTGGATCTTGAGGTTCTGGAGCAATCAACAGTCCATAAACAGCATTAAGGATCTCTCTCATCGTGACGTGTGCGTTGTATCCACGGTCAAATATGTTGTGGCAAATGCGACCCACATTGTTGATATTGCAGTGATATATCTTTGTTCATGTTAAGAAAAATACTTAAAACAGACCAAATAAAAACATTAACCACACTAAGTACAGATGAAGAACTATGTGTAATATTAGTCTAATATTAAGTCTATTTTCAGGATACAGAAGTGATGAAGCGGACTGTTGGTGGTTTCACTGGGTAGTCAGGACCAAATTGACAGAAGAGCTCAAACACCCCAGTGTCATAAGGTGTATCCGGAGGGCCTTCCATAAGAAGTTTCCAAAATGCTGTATGTGAATTAGTTACAGGATTAATGAAAAGTACAATGCATAAATCTGTACACATGCTAAATGCATCTTGACTTACTAAAGTCAGTTTCTGATGGGAAGATTTGAAAGAAAGGATGTGGATGACAATGCAGGTTCTTCAGCTCCTCCAAGATTCTTCTGTCCCTCTCCATGAAACGTCCATCTTTGGCCTCACGGATTTTTATTTTCAAAGCACTGCATGAAATATGAGCAAGTTTATTGTTTGGTTCAGCACATTGGATGTAATATATATATATTTTTTTTTAAATAGTCCATCTCCAATTACTACAATCTCTTGAAAAAGTTAAATATGTTTTGTCTCTTGTTCCAGAAAGTCAAAGCTATATATTATATAGACTGAAGAGCCTTTTTGATGATTATGGATACAGATAATGAAAACCCAAAATTCAGTGACACAGAAAATTTGAATATTACATAATATAAATAAAAAAGGATATTTTAAACATAAATGTCAGGCTTATGAAAAGTATGTGAATTTCTATGCACTTAGGGTTAGAGCAATGCCACACGGTGATTGCCTCCATGCCATACTGCACTCGTAGTAATTCATGCCAAAGTAGGCCCAACTAAATACTAAGCGCAGGTTGCTTTGATAGCGGCATTCAGGTCCGCTTTTGGAGACTTTGGCTGTGTGGGCAGGTGCCAAGTCGTGCTGGAAAATGAAATCAGCATCTCCATAAAGCTTGTCAGCAGAAGGAAGCATAAGGTGCTCTAAAATGTCCTGGTAGAGGGCTGTGTTGACTGTGGACTTCAGTAGTACCAGCAGCCAAATCATCACTGACTGAAAACTTCAAACTGAACATCAAGCAACATGGATTCTGTGTCTCTCCACTCTATCTTCTTTTAGATGACATTCTTCTGACATCATAACATGTCCCATATAAGGCTTTGTCTGTGCATAGTGGCTCTTGATGCACTGACTCCAGCCTCAGTCCACTCTTTATGATGCTCCCCAGAACTTCTTGAGAGGACTTGGCTTGACAATCCTCTCAAGGCTACTCAAGGTCTTTCCTTTTGCTATTGTACCCATTTCTACCAGTTTTTTCTTCCACTCAAGTTATTACGAATGTTTGGATATTGCACGCTGTGAACAACCAGCTTCTTTAGCAATGGCCTTCTGTGACCGTTGTCCGGACATCTGTCAAGTCAGCAGCCTTCCCCATGATTGTGTAGCCCCTTGATCCAGACTGAGAGACTTTTAAAGGTTCAGGAAACCTTTGCAGGTGCTTTCAGTTAATTAGCTGATTAAGGTGTGACCCCATGACTTCCCAATATTATGCTTTTTCACAATATTCAAATTTTCAGAGACACAGACTTCTGTATTTTCATTATCTGTAAGGCACAATCATAACAATTCAAGAAATAAACTCTTGAAATGTTTCACTCTGTTTGTTGTAAGTCTATGTAATATATGGGGTTGACTTTCTGAAATGAGTGACAAATATACATTTTTCATGATATTCTGATAATTGGAAATGAAATGTGGTCTTACTCTTCCGTTACAGTCACTTTATCGGACATCTCAGTGGGCAAGACAGCTTCTGGAAGGTCATCATATCCATGAAGTGCAAATAATCCAGTTAAAAAATTCTACAACAAATTAATTTATCAATTTACATTGTATAAGAAATTGTTTTACAATAATTTTTTTATCACCTTAGTAACAGAAGAGGTGTCAGCTTTGTTTTTGGGTTTTCGCATTCCTAAAGACAAAACCGTTTCTGCCTCAAACAGTTTGAGACCGTCTTTGCTTGTCTCAGGTTTGAAACAGCAGCCACCTTAAACATTAATACATGTCTCATTCACAAAGCCTTTCCTTCTACATTAAAACATCGCATTGTATCTTACCAGAGGCAATGCTAATGCCATGGAGCATATTGTTCTCTACTGTTCCAAGAAGAACTGAATCCACAATGATGTCAGATTGGATCAGATTGACAGCAACAACATCTGGTTCAATGGTGGAACTATTTACAAAATATAGCATAAAGCAAATATTTCCTAGTCTTCAAAATTTAAGAATATCAAAGCACATTCTAATCTGATCATCCTAAACAAATAGTCATTGTTACGACCCAGGTGGATCAAACATATTAAGGAGGACACAGGAGGCGAAAAGTATATTTGTTATAAATTATGTTTACCCATCATCATTCCCATCAGTGAGGCACAGAATGCGCAGTACACAGTCTGGAAATTCTGTCTTGACTTTTTTAAACCTGCGTCTTCCAAGCTCAAGAGCATCATAAAGCGTTGTGCATCCATTTGGCTCAAGACTTTGCACACTATCCTAAAAACACAAATAACATCAAATATATTTACAAGCATAAGTACACCCTTGATTTGACATTCATCTCGTTTTTCCAGGGAAGTGCTCTGACTACTTATCCCAGTCTAAATGCAAGTTAAAAAGCCAAATAGCATATGTTCAGGTGCGTCCAGCAATTTTGCATTAGCATTAAAACTTTGAAGCCATAACGGCTAATAAAAACTGCAATGCAACTACAAAAACATGCAATAAGAATTAGGTAGAAAACAATATGATTTATTATAAAAGCCAAACCAATGACCAATTACCTTGAATGTTTCAAGTGTCTCTGTGAAGGTCTGAAGAGTTTTCACTGTAGAATCAAACTTCACAAGGCCAATGATGTGATGGAAATCATATGCCATGGTCCGATTAGCAAAGCTGTTGAAGAGTTCTTTGACAGCATGGATCTTCTGGATATCCACACTTCCATAGCACTTCTCATTCATAGATGAGCTTGTATCTACAAGCACCTGTTAGAAAAAAGATGTGTATCACCAATACTTGGTAATACATTGCAGTAATACACAATGCAAATTTGGTGAATATTCTTGGCCAATCCATACTTGGTTAAACTCTATATAAGGACTCCTTTTGAAAGTTTGCTTGTCCCTAACATATTGTAAAATTTCAATTAATAGTGCACATTTTAAATTACGGCATCTTCAAATACACAATATATAACTACTATGTCACCAGCTAAGAATAGCTCAAGTGCTTGTCCACCAACCTGAAGTGTTGTGACATTTGGCATTTCCAAGACACTTTACTAACCTTGTTTCTGTCTGTCCAGCCCAGGGCAGATCTGGCTGATCTGGTCACCATCCAAATGTGAAGTGAGTGCATAAAGCACAAAATTATGATGAAACTTTAAGTTTAACTTACTAATATAATATAATAATAATAATAATAATAATCATAATCATAATCATAATCATAAGTAAGTAAGTATTCGTCCAATCTGCCCCTGCTCCCAATCATTCACACCACATTATACATAAGCAATGTGGGTGAATTGTCTTGCCCAAGAACACAACAATGGTTGAATGCTCTTTAACCACTAATCCACTGATGAATTCATAAATTTATAGTACCAGGACAGCTTCTTTTGGAGTTCTGGTTGTGGCTACAGATTGGCTGTTTCTGTCATCTCCAGTCCTGCACAGAATAACCCACAAGGCATAAACATTATTGTCCACATTGCATTTTGAATAATCTCAACATGTGGATACAACCACTAAATCAATTACTTTTTGTCAGTACTTTTTGTTTACTCACCGCGCAGCCAAAACATCTACATCAACAGTTTCGGTTTCTCCAGACAGACAGTCATACACATGTATTTTTTTGGGGCTCCCCTTGTCTTTATGAAAGTAAACACCAAGGTTATCTGCAAATGAAATAGAAAAGGCACATTCAAAAGGACAAGTTATTACATTATTGGATTGTTGTTACATTTAAAGTTTGCATTATTGGATGTTATTACAGACAATAGGCGAGTTGTTTTAACATTTTGATTACCATTTTTTGTATGTTTAAGCATCAGATGTAGGGAAAAACTACCTGCTGTGGTAGTGATGGGGAATGTAAACGGATTTTAATTATTCTATGGTGTGGACCACTAGTGAGGAAGCCTCAAGAAGAAGTGCCAGAAAGGCAACCCCCTGTCCATTATAGACCACCCCTGGCTCCTCCTGCACTGCACCTTCACCAGACTTAGACTTAGATAACCTTTATTGATCCACAAGGGAAATTATTTGGATACAGTAGCTCACATATCACAATATAATATAATGATCTAATAACAAACAGAAGAAATATAAATGGTAATAATAAATCCTAAGTAGCAAAAAGAGCAAGAAAACTGGTGTCAAATAAGGTATAATTATATAAATCTATATGTACAAGTAAAGTAAAAAATAGAAAATATAGTATAATCTAAATTCTCTACTCCAAACTCCTCCCATGTGACTGAGCTCCTCACCCTATTTAAGGGAGGGCCCAGCCACTCTGCAGAGCAAACTCATTTTGACCACTTGTATCCACAATCTTGTTCTTTCGGTCATTACCCAAAGCTCATGACATAGGTGAGGGTAGGAACTCTATCAGTTAATCATACACAAAAATGTGAATAGGAAAATTTAATGAGAATTTCCAAGGTTCTTAACTCTGCCTCTACCTCATTTTAATATCTTCTAATTTTTGTTAGCATTACATAACTGATATGACATTTGTACCTTCAGTAAGGTAAACCAAGCATATATCTTGATGTCCCAGGTTCTTCAGCAACAGAGGAGGAGTCACAATGAGCAATGGGAAAGCCTTCATTTCCTCAGTCATAACTTCAAGAGTCTTCTTTGTTTCCAACTGAAAGCTTAAGTTAAAAAGATAAAAGAGTAAAAGCATACCATATTTCAAGTTCTGGACACCACTGCCCCAATGAAGGTTAAAATAGTTCCAACTCTGCTGCTGGCAGAACTAATTGCCACATTTCCACATCAAGTGCAATGTGTTTGGGTTTAGGGCATTAAAAAAAGCTATCAATTGCACAGGGCAAATAATAGCCTTGCACCTGTAACTGACAAAACTGTCCTAAACATGTCAGTGTCAATCCTGGGACCCCTTGGTTAATGAGTCCACAACTATGTAGACAACACTGGGATCTATGTCTCACTGTCAGGTAAATATGGACCAGTGGATTCACTCTGACACTGCATCAAAACAGATGTCAAACAACTTACTCCAGCTAAATTCAGACAAGGCTGGATTCATCGTCTTTGGCCCATCTCTCTCTCCAGTCTGTTTCTCTAAAACCTTCAAATCAGGCTAGAAATGTGTGGGTAATAATCGACTCAGCCACACCAAATCAATAATACCTGCAGATTTTAACCATCTAAAAACATTACAAAAATCACAGGTATACCGTCTAAAGCTACGTTCACACCAAACGCAAATGGCGCAAACAAGGCGAACGATTTACATCTTAACCCTATGTAAAGGCGTGTTGACATGCAAATAAAGTTCTGTGGCATGAACGATGCGAATTGGGGGGCGCGAATAGGTGAAATGAGCGGTGCGAATTTGCAAAACTGGCATTGACGCACAAATTCTTAAAAGGAAAGGATTTGGCGAAATTCACCAAACTTGAAATTTTTGAACTTTCCTGTGAACCTGTGAATATTTGTGTCACATCAATCAGGGTCTGTGCTCTGACAGTAACGTATAATGCTGAGACAGATGTGAATGCTCATTCAACATGGAGGAGACACTTATTGTTCCCGTGAGAAACGAGAGGATATTATACGATATCAGCACGAGCCAAAGACCGGAATAAACTCCACAGAGCAGGACCTACACCAGACTCTGTCCCCCTCTCCTTTATTCTGGCCCCAGACTCAGTCCCGCTCTGGTCCCAGACTCAGTCCTGCTCTGGTCTCGGTCTCAGTGCCGGTCTGGTATTCCAAGTACGCCATTTTTCCAAATGAAAACAGATGCAGAGGACACGCGCAGTTGCACTTGATCCTTCGGGAGCAAATAGAGCGGATTTACTCGCTCAACCAAATTCCCAAACTCGAGCGACCTGGAATGAAGTGAAAGATTCAAAAAAGTCAAGCGGCAAACTAGGGGCGTTAGAGGCGATTTATTCGCGCCATTCATGTTTGGTCTGAACAGGGCTTAAAGGCCGACACACTACAGGAGTGTGTGGTGTCAGTGTGACTCTGAGCTGCTGTCAGATCATAAACCCCAAACATCAGCAATGCTGCGGTAACAACTAATAAAACAGAGCATCAGGCGAAGTGACGGAGATACAAACTCAGCAAATAGTAAAAATAATTATTACTCACTTCTCGTAATTTTTATTACGGCAGCTTCTCATCCATATTATCCACACAATTTATCCTCCACAAATAATGACACCAAGTCCACAAAACATCGCTATTAATGCAGTTTGAAGCGTTCTTTAAAAGTTAAAAAGCGAGAGTAGTTCCTCACGTGTTTCTGTTTACATCCACACAACGCGCATCAAGGTGAAGCTACAGATTAGCAATAGTGACTCTACTTCCTGTGTACTTGTCACCAACCATCTGTGCACTTAAAATCATGAATCTGAAGTTCTGCACCACATTTCACAAATAATAATACAGTTTGCATCTAAACTAGAAGTGCAATGCTTTGATCTTTTTAACACTTATACGTCTCAAAGCGAGTGGTTTTACTGCAGACAGGAAGCAGCTGTTGTGAGCTGCAATCTTAACTTTGTAGCATGTGGTCCACAGCCATATCCCGATGCAGTCTTTGCGATCGGAGATTTATAATCTCATAGGATTCTCCTCGTGTCTGTGGCGTGTGCTTTTTGTTGCATGTTTAAAAATGGTTTAAGACTGAAAAATCCTGTATGGTGGTGACCTTAAACCAGACTTGGGAAGACTTATCCATGCGTTTGTCTCCACTAGGTTAGACTACTGTATCGAGAGAATAGAACTTAAAACAGCTCTGTTTGTTTATATGTCTTTCCATGGCCTGACACCTAAGTATACCTCTATCATCTTAGTGCCATAAGAACCATCTCAAACTCAGAGGACTGGCTAGTACACTAGTAAATTTTCTCTCTCTCAAAGAAATTTAGCAATAAACAATTCACAAAATATTCTATCTTTAGAATGGTTTCTATATGTGCAGAAAATGTATAATTACAGCAAAATGTAACATACTTCTGTCCAGGCACATCGTTGTACGAAATCCATACGTAATATGTTCTGATTAAAGGATGAACACTGAGCAAGATTTTCTCAATATCTGTGCATCTTTTGAGTGATGTGGGACTCAACTCCTTCTCCGTGCAGAGTGGAATAGTTTCACCGTCTGAAAAGAGTGGCAGAGGAAGACAGCAGAGCTGCCTGACACAGACTTCTTTTTCAGGCACATAAACTATAAAACACCTCAACTCAAAAGAAATTGTACTTCTGATTTTTTGCAGCACATCTGCCCGCTCCATGGGGCCTGGTAGCCCAGGTACAGTGACTGGTTCACAGAAACGGTTGCCATTTTCAGAAAATAGTGAAACTGGTGCATAATTATCATGATAGGGGCTCCCTTTCTATAAAATAATGAAAATGAATAAAGTTACATAACACAAACCATTTGTTTCAATAATGTTTGCAGTACTAGACCTTGGCTTCTGACATAATATATGACCAGCAGAACAGTGAATGCTCAAAGACTTTTTGGTCCTCTATGATCTTGTCTCCATCAGCAGATCCAGGTTTTGGCAGTATCTCCCGAAACAGTGTGTACAAGCCTTCAATCACTGCAATCTAAAAAAAAAAACAACACAACATACAATTTAATTGAGATACAGGTACCTGACACAGCCCCAGACCTTTAGCTCTTGCCTTTTGTTATTAATGTATTATATTTTATATTATATAGTATTATATTTAAATTTTGTTATTAATAGATGTTTTGGACATACTGTGTTTTCAGGTAAAACTATTTCTATTCTATTAGCACATTTTATTTGATTTAAGATGTGATATTATTTGTGCATTTGTGATTGGAATGTGAAGAAATTCTTCAATAGACTTAGTTTCATATTCTTCACATTACCTTACACCAACAAAATACAGAAAAATAACAAAAATAGTGTGCATTTGTGTGTTTACGTACAGTATGCTAAGATGGCATCTCAATGAGCAGTAAAACACCTTAAATTGTAATGTTACATTATTCACCCTTTGAGTCTTAGATAAAATTTGACTCTTCTGCAGAAGCTGATGCAGACTTTGGGCTAGAGGATTGCATCCAGTCACTTTTCGTATAAAGCCAATCAGGTCACTATGTCGTACCACAGGGGATTTCCTTTCCTAGAAGAAAAAAAAAAAATTATAAACAGGAAGTGTGTATTGAATAAGCACTATATAGAGAGTTTTAAACTATGACAATTACAATAATATAGAGAGATGCAAGGAAAACACTGGTTCCTTTTTTGGTCTGCTGAACTGAAGGTGTAATGTCTGTAAAGACTTTATTTGCACAAAGATGCATGAATGAGGAGAGAGAGAAATTCAGTGATGTCCCCTCCGTCATCCAAAGTCTTTGCGGAGCATCCTCAAAGCTAGTGTCACATCTGTAATCAAAGTGCACAAACTACTGTTAAAATTACTTTTTAATTGCTCATAGCTATTTAAGAGTAAGCATTCACCTGTAATGAAGAACATCTTTAGGAATTCCACTGATTACACTTAGCTTATTCTGAATGTCTGAAACTGTGTCAACTGCCCAATCAATGCTAACGTCAAAGTCTCCCTGTAAAAGAAAATTAAAAAGCCACGGTCAGTGAGCATTCCAATGGTTAACTGCCATGTGCTAATATTGTATAATGCACAAGCAGTCCGGCAACAGTTATATGTGGGATAAGAGCATTAAACAACTTAGAGCAGTATGTTATGCAGTTTTAACACACTTTGCGTAGGGGTGAAAACAGTGTAACGCATGGTTCCTCGTTGTTTAATAATTAACGCTACATACAAAATTTCTCTGATTCTGGAAACCTTATATGCAGCATTAAATAATTAAATATTTGATTTCCTGCCTTTAAAAAATTATAAATTAATATTTGGAAATTTTATTGTGCACATGCACAATTATGATGAATAAATGTCAGTGCTCAAAACATACCCTTAGCATGACATGGCAGCGGACAGTATCATTTCCTGACAGTGGCACAGTGTTTATTGTGCTATTTGTTGATGTCAGCAGATTCTCTTTAGGAGTAAATATGGCATAGATGAGATCTCCATCCTTGATATGTCTGTCCTGCAGTGACCCTGTGAGTGATAAAACATAGTAAAATATCCCTTTACCCCGGGCTCAGATTACATGCGGTACAGCCCTGGTGGCCGCAAGTATTCTGTATAATTACAAGTAGCAAGAGGAGCTCAGACCGCATGCCATACAGTCTGGTGATGCCAGTGGAAGTGCATCATTTGGATTCTAGTTTTGCCGGATGCTGAAACCCACTACAAGCCTTTTCCCTTAATAAATGAAGAGTTATGTGGTCAATATGTGGTCTCACATGTGCAACCTGCAAAAGCAGTGACTAAATGCACAGCAGAGCTACGGTCCTTGTGCAAGTGTCACACCACAATTAGACTGGTCCGACCCTGGAGCTGCAGCTGGACTGGGTGCAGTCTGAGCAAGGTGTTAATCTTTAGAAACAACTAAGCACATGATGATGACAACACTCATATGTGAATGGTGGACTGTAATATGTGTACCAAAAGTGCAGCTATTATTTTTATTTCTTATTGCAGTCTTTCTAAATAGTAATAGTAATTATACTTTGGTAATGGCTCTTTTGATCTCCTTCTTTTAAACTTTATTTTTCGTCAGACAGGACATACCAGAACTCCATCACCTGGAGCTTATGAGGAAGGCCACAGGTAGTAGCTGAAATATGTGAAGCAGGTAAACAAACACTCTTATCTAACAATAAGGATATTTAAATGTTGTAATTATTAACCAATTACTCATTTTTTAAATTTTATTTTGCATGTCTTCAAAACAAGAACTGCAGTATCATCTACGGTCATTATATCTCCCAGCTTTACTCACATGTGTTAAAGTAGGGATCATCAGTCAGAGGCATTCCATCCACTGTGTAAAGGCAAACTCCTTTAGAAGAACCAATATTCTCTGCATGCCCAATCCTCAGCATCAGATCTTCCACTGTGTTCTGAGCAGGATCCATATCTGCAAGATAAAGAGATGCAGTAAAATATAGATACCATATAGAGTATCTTTGTGTTAAGTGTAAATAATAACACCCCAACTTACTTTTTAGTGTTAAGATATAAAAACAGAGTTCATTTCATACCTGTGATGATCTTTATCTCTGGACACAAGGGGTAAGTGTACTTTAAGGAAAAAGCTTTCATAGACTTGTGCACAGATGAAGATGTATCTGGTACAGGAGCTCTGAGTCTGCCAATGAACCTCTGCATCTCTCTAAAACGATTCTTCTCCACATGAGTCAGCCCTGCTCACAATTGACACAATGAGCAAATCTGCTATTGAACATTCATAAAAATAGTTCCTGTAGTCACCAAGGCTGGTCAAGTCTTCATCGGTGACACTGTCAATAAAATCTTGTTCTTCTTTCACCCCTAAGGTCACAAAGGAGAAGTAGTAGGATTCCAGCCTGTGCCTCTCCAGCAAACTGTAAATCTTGTCCATCTGAATTAAAAAAAAATAAAAAATGTCACCGCTGTATTAAAATAAAATCTAATTTGACACAATAATAATAGCTACTTGTAATAAGCTAGTTGTAATACAAACTTACCTTGGAGTTACTGACAAAAAACTGGGTAACTTTTTTATGGTGTCATTTAAGGAAAGTGAAAGTTAAGTAAGTAGACCTAAGCAGACTAATTTTGAAATAACTATGATAAACTTATTGTGTGTTAAATTTAATAGGAAATAATTTACCAGAAGTTTCACTAAGGTCCAGTTAATATTGTGTCAGTTGTTCATTATTTACCAAATTATTACTGACATACATCTAAAAATGGGGCCTACTTCAAGACTTATTCTATCTCATATAAAAGTGATCAGGCTGTGTATGGTACTGCTGTATTCAGTGAAGTATGAAAACCAATACAGCCTCTCAGAGATATTAGATAATGATAATGATATTACTGCCTGATTTAATGAGGTTTTTCAAAATATCTGATGGAGCTGACAAAAAGATGGGACACTACTTTTAGCAAGCTGAATTTTGAAGAAAAATATTCTCACAAGTTTACCGTAGGCATTTTTACAAACATTTAAAGCCTTTTAATTCAATTCATTCACATGAAGAGTTTTAAAATGTTTTTTAAGCAAATTAACTCAAAACATTACATTGACCTATAAAATTTCACTTACATTTATGTTAAAATTGTTCAAAACTGTCAACAAAATTTTCAAATAAATACCTCCAGTATACAGACCTGCCTTAGATTTAACTTTTTTATGTAACTATTATGATATTCAGAAAATATTTTTCTACAAATTGCTGTGTTTTAGAGAGGACCTGTTTTGTCCTGACACTCAAGAAATCACCGAAATACAATGCATAACCATAGCATAACCATAATATTTCACTAATATTTATCTGTTAAACATATTCTATTTATTTTTTTTTTTTACATATTATCCTATTTTATTTTGTCTATTAGCCCATTAGGCTATAGCTGTTCTGCAGCGTCACTGGATACTATAATGCTAACAGTTTTGGTTTTGTGCTTTTCATATTCCCCCCCAGAACAAATTACGTAGGCCTAGAATATTTATTGTAGGCCTATTTAAGAACTTAGAGCCTACATTTCAGTGCTTGATGTTACCTAGCTGTACTTTCACCCGCTAGGTGAAGCAGACTTGAAAGGCGCAGACTTGAAATAGCGATTACATTAGCGAAACAAAAAATGAACCAAAGCTATGACTGAAACTTGGAACATGTTTAGGACAGAGACTTACTTCAAATCGACGTTCCTGATGACAGACCACGTACACACAATTCAAGGAAGAAGTTGGTTTGCACGGACAGTCCAGTTTCCGTCCGTTTCCTAAAAACGAAACTCAACTCAAGAAATCTGCAGACTAAATGACCTCTAGTGGGGACGTTGCAGAAAACAATAGCCTACAATTAATCCAGAGATAAATAAAACCATATTGCTGGGTTTCAGATGACATCACAACATCTATAGGACAATATTATATAATAGAGATGAGGACAGCAAAACTGTATATTGTCCAGATACAATCCAGGCATTTGTTGCAATACGGTGAGTTGTCCAGTTTAATCACTAATAGAATAGAATAGAATGTCCAACACTTATGAAATTACCTTTTGGATGTTTCATGGTGACATACAATGTAATCAATAGGAAAAAATATCTTTTGTCATACTATGGGCACTGTGACATCTGATGTCACACTCCCACCATCTGGGAGTATGAAAATCATCCATTGCTCACCTGCTTATCCAAATGGAAAGGTTTTGCTTTGCCTGGAATGTTCCACAGTATGACAGCTCTATGTTGAGGTATTCACTAATAACATTTAAAATCTTACAGTGAGTGGAGACCTCTCTATAAATAGGACCTGTAACTTGGCCCCATGGTATCATCTGCATCATCTTATAATAAAAGTGCATGCATGGTATCAATATCAAGTAAAACTAAAATGCAATGACGTGTTGACACTAGAGAATGAACTATGTGAAACAAAAGACAAAGAAAGCAAGCCAAAGCTAAACTTTGAAAAGTGCCAAACTATTAAATGAACATTCTACAAAGAAATGTAGGAATGTGCACTATTTTTTCCCCCTACAAACTAGTTTCCAAAATTTGGCTGCTGCAGTTCTCCGTAACCATGGTTTTCATGTGAGGACAGGGTTTCCAGTCAGTCCTTCATAGCAGTTGTTGAGGCTTGGCAAATAGATCATATTTTGATCTGAATCCACAAAGTAAAATGTTAAGAGTAGGTTATACAAAGAGGCATTAGCTTTCAAATTAATACTTACATTTTGAGGTGGTTTTTCTATTGCTTTCCATTTCATTATCAAAGGATCAATAGATTATTACAGGATCATAGATTTTTACTCACCTTCACTAGAATCATTTGGACAATTTCAGCCCTAAGTTATCTCTACTGAACAAAGGTAAAAGGTAGCTATTATATTTTACATATTGCAGCAGCCAAAACTTGCCCTGTGCAAGGTCCGCTATGGCTGTAGCTGTGTCTCGCACGCGTGTCTTCCATAAAAACAGAGTCCAAATACTGTGTTCCTCAATATTTATTGGGCATTCCTTATAGCCATCCAAAAATACAGATTCGGCACTCGACAGATCACGACGATGACGACGACGGTCAAAAGACTGTATACCTTCACGGTGCAACACCTGTGCGCACATTTTCCTCCCCTTATATAGGGCAGCAAATTACGTAGCAAATTATAAATAGCGCCACACAGAGGCGGGAGGTAGAGAAGCGCAATATGGCTCCAACACACCGGCCCCTTAATTGTGGAAGCCAGTAGCGAAACAATTACATAAAATACAAAAATACATTTGGAGCCATAAATTAACTTAGCTGATCTTTCTATATGTACATGGGAACACAGTTACACATTAATCCAAAAATATCCAATACCATTATCCAATTTCCAAAAATCATTGTTTACATTTAATTCTATCCAGTTAAGTTAAATTAATAAAACTTTTTCCACCTTTTTCTTTTGAAGGTTTTGCAGATTTTTAGTTGAAACAACTTTTGGGCTTGACAAACAAGCAGATACAAAACACAAATCACAAAGGCAACAATACATTTAAAGTGAGAAAAGTTCATTGAGAGACCATAAAGGTGCACGCAGTCCATACCAGCAGCAGTCTTCTCCTGCTCCTCATCCTCTGTGTCACTACTGTCCATGTTGGTCATGATAGGTGGCTCAAATTGGTCCATGGCAGGGGTATCAAAATCCTTCTGGGGTTCAGGTGAAAGAACAGGTTCACTTTGGGATAAATCCATGTCAGTGGTGGTTCCGGCCCCTGTTGACGCAAAAGCACCCACCACTGTGGTGCATATCTCTGGCGCCTCCCAGTTCACTGCATCAAAACCATCATCATCACCGGCCCCTGTTTGATCTTCAAGTAAAACAGAGACACTTGTGGTTTGCTTTAATAAACATGGTTTTGAAGGAAACAGAGTTGACTGAGGCACCTTGGGCTCCAGCAGCAGTGGTCTGGGTTTTACAGTTTTATGTTTATTTGAGGCATTAAAAACTGACAACTTTGCTGTTACCTCAGCCAGTTTAGTCTCAAGCTCCAGTTCATCCAACCTTCTTCTCCTGATTCCTCTTTGCTTTGCTTCAAGTGCATGAATATCCTCCATATATGAAGCTTTAGCCAGTAGTGCAGCCGTTTCAGCCTTTATTTTTACCAATGCTCCAGCTACAGAAGCCTTAATTCTTTTTTTCACTTCTGTGACTGTCTTTATGTGTCCTTTCACAGTTTATTTTTTCCTTTTTCTCAGTTTTTAGTTGAAACCCTTGGTGCACATTTTTACAGTGTTCGTATTTACAACGTACACAAATCCATCCGCGCCCCGTGCCCAAAAGTCAGAGTTCTGTAAATGCGCCATCCTTGTAGACTCTTAAACATTTAGCGTAGGCCTACCAGGTGAATGTTCTGGGCCTGGCCTTTGCGATGCTGCCGGTGACGACACCGAGGTTCTCCGGTGCCGTCCGCCCCCTTCCTTCTCCGTGCTCCCGCCAACAGTCCGCCGGTCCGCCGCGCCTGTCGCGACGAGTCACCGCTACGGTAGTAGGTGGGTCCACTCCTGGAAACCGCGCTGTGCCTATCACAGCCGACGCAACACCTTAACGCCCGGACGGTACCTGAGGTAGTCTTTTGACAATGTAGCGGCCAAAACTTGCCCTGTGCAAGGTCCGCTATGGCTGCAGCGTGTGTGGTGTCTCGGACTCGTGTCTTCCATAAAAACAGAGTCCAAATACTGTGTTCCTCAATATTTATTGGGCGTACCTTATAGCCATCCAAGGGGCAGAGAGGCGCAATATGGCTCCAACACATATTATTACATGTTATTACATACTACTACATACTATTACATACTACTACATACTATTACCATATTATTACATACTATTGCATATTATTGACACCAGAAGATGAAACAGAGCATTTTGAGCTTTAGACATGTAGACAGTCTAATAATAACGGATTATCCAAACAAGTGAATGAAACAAACTGCAGCTCCAAGTATGTTTTTGATGAGGTAACAACATTCTAACATGGCTTAATAGGGATGGGCATTCGGTGAAATTTTCTTAATCGATCGTCGGAAGAATTAACGATCGATTATCGATTAATCATTAACGTTTTTATATTAAAATGATCATCATTATTATTACTATCTGCACTACTAATCTGCATAAATAAATTCAACTTTATGACATATAAACCGTAACGATTCTAGAGCCACATCAATCCGTTTTAGATTATAATGTGTTTAATTCAGTTTTGGGCAACTCTCACAGAAACAAAACTTAAAACCGCATCGGTCATTTGCATAAACTAAGCGAAGATAAAACTACAGCTCTTGTGTCGCTGATGCGGTCAATTTCTGTCGGATTAAAAGACATGACTCAGGTGAATACAGGTTAGTGTGACCATATTTGCGTTTGTCAAAACCAGGACACCGTACGGCAGGTGGGAGGTGAGGACTCGTCATCGACATTGCGCGACTCTCAGCTGGCAAAGCTTTTTCCCACTGGACACCGAAACATATGTGCTGCTTTGTACACTGTGCACATGGACTCACACTTGTCCCGAACGGAAAGCGTGGACTTTCTTGTACAAATCATCGTTGCACATCGTTCGCATTTGCACTTCGGTACATTGCAGCCTGACCGACTGTTTGTGTCTCGCTCCTTCTGAGTGCAGAGCGCTACATGTACGGACTCCTGTTTGGTCACGCTACACACAGCAACCTACATTCGGTTTGTCGATTAAAATGAACGTAATCGATGAAATTCTTAATGATCAGTTATCGATTAATCGACTAATTATGCCCATCCCTACTTAAAACTCACATACATATTATGTAATATAGCACCTTTAAAACAGATTAAAATTAAACATAAACCATATCAAGTACAGATGGACTACTATAGAGTAATAATGTACATTTTCAGAATACAAAAGTGATGAAGCGGACTGCTGGTGATTTCATTGGGTAGTTAGGACCAAACTGGCAGAAGAGCTCAAATGCTCTACTCTCATAAGGTGTATCTGGATGGCCGTCCATGAGAAGGATGATGAGCTTTAGCTCTGGACACAAGGGGTAAGTGTACTTTAAAAAGAAAGCTTTCATGGAATTGTGCACAGATGAAGATGTAACAAGAGTCTGCTAATGAACCTCTGCATCTCTCTGAATTGATTCTTCAACACGAGTCAATCCTGCTCACAATGTATGTTAACTAAACTTAAATAGGCTAATAGAAAATTGAGAAGGTTGCTGTACTTGCCAAGGCTGCTCAAGTGTTCATCAGTGACACTCTCAAACATTTTACTCATCTTTTACCTCTAACTTCTGAAATGAGAAGTAGTAGAGCCTGAGCATCTCTAGCAAACTGAAAATCTTGTCAATCTGAAAAAAATGCAGTACTAAAATACATTCTAACTAGAATTAACCCTACCTTATAACAAAAGTACAAATCAAATGTTCCAGCTGTAAATGTGTATGGTATTGCAGTCCTGAACTAAAGTTTTTATAGTGTTTATATACACAAAGTATCACATTATTACAGTATTACTATCACGCCCTAAGTAAGAGAAACAAGCGCCAAAGTCTAAGACAAAATGCACTGTTTTAAATAATGGATCAGTTAAATAAAATGAATGGATAATGCCTAGAATAGCCTAATATTAGTAGTAATAGTCTAGAACAAATAGTAAAAGTAATAGGCTACTGTTAATCTATATATTTCTATAAAATTAATTACCTCAGATCTGGATGATGCGGACGAACACAACAATGTCAGCTATCGGTGGGTTTTCTAATTTATTTTCCAAACGGCTTGAATAATCCAGTCTGAGTTTTTAAAACCTGGTATAACCAGATAATAACGTCCTTTAATATGAAACGTAATGCAACCCTTAGACTGCTGGACCACAGTTAAAAAAACAAAAACAAAACAACAACTTTACTGCCCCCTAGTGGCGCTATCGAACGGTAAAACAATTGTCATTAGGTACCATTTACAGTGAGCTGCAGAGGGTTTAGGTTTGAATCTGGCAACTCAAATCAACAATTTCAACAAGCCTGCAGTAGGCCCACAATAATGTTTTTACAGAAGGACAGGGGTGGGTGATATGGGAAAGAAATGATCATGATATAGATTTTTCATTAAATTCTATTTATTCTTTTCTAAAACAAAATTACAATGGTTGATAGTATTGATTTCATTAACACTAGACCTCCCTGTTAACCGGGGATAGTCCCAATTAGGAGCCCTGTATCTCCTGTCCCAGCAGATTTGTCCAAAACCACTGATTTGTTATGTGTCCCAGGTATTTTTACAGGTTATTTTACTGACAGAAGTTTGGCTATGCACCTCTTGATCCAGAAACTCCAACTATATCATTGACAATTAGACATGGCTGAATCTCGAGCTCTTGATCTTTCAGTTAATTACTCAGCAACCTTACAATTGTTATCAGTAAAAACTATTTTGGATTATTAGGTTACTTCTTAAGTAGAGGGAGTAATTTTGTATGCAGTTTCAAATAAACATACATTTCTTTGACCGAATAGCCAAAGCACTATTCTTTTAGATCCTTAACTCATACATAAGTAAAAAACTTGTTGACTCAGCAATCCAGACACAATAAATAATGGCAAAATAAATGTTCCAACCAGAATAACTAGTTTCATAATGGTTTATTACAAGCATTAGCAGCATTTTTAACACACATATACCAGCCTAAGAAAGTACTAAACGATTAAAAATTTAGTTTAAAAGTCAGTTTATACATAAATGATAAGAACACACCGGCTAATGAAAAATAAGAACATGTGTCAGCTGAACAAATTCCCACGTGAGGCACACAATAAACAGCATTGAGAAACATTTTTCATTTCAACTTCAACATAGGTAACAAACTGAAGGCATAATATTATAGTCTAGCTAGCCATATCTCTATTTCTCGCTAATCAAAGAAGACAATAAAAGGCATCCATACAATCAAGTATCCTTACATTTGATTAACAAAGTATATGTTTTTCACACAACAATGCAGCAGTTTCTGAAGAATCACATTTTCTGAGACAAACTATCTACAGATTTTATTTAGCACACAGCAAATGCAAAAAACAGGGCATGTGCTTTTTGGCGTTGACTTCAGTCTGCCATAGCAAACTAGTGCTCCTCTCTTATGTCTGACCTCAATTGTTCATGATTACGGCATGACAAGATCTATAAATGTTTGTTGTATACAATGAATTAATGTTTTTATTTGTGTTTCATATCTAAAATAATTTGATGGTCATACAATTGAACATTAAGAGTCTGGTGATACCTCTATTGCACTCTTGGCATTCGACCACCTTACCAGTCATTACATTTAAATTACGTAAGCATTTAATTTAAAAAGGAAATACATATAATAAATTATAAATATACAACATATTTTAAAGGTGTAGCTGTATAAAACAAAGCACTATAGGCACTTAATTGTTTAATTGTTTGACTTAAAAGTAAAACTTAAAAAGTAGTTTTTGGTTCCTTCAGTAAAAGAGGAGGACGGTCACAAAAAGAAGCATCAAATTCAATCCTTCAAATCCACACAGTTGCACCACACATAAACTTCTACACACTAGGCCCTGAGTTTGTCCACATACTTCTTCTAAATACAAGACTTCACATTCCTCCTACAGCAACGATAAATGTCCTCTCTCCATTATGTTACCATGGAGACCAGGTGTGGTGTCCTAGAGTAGTGTCCTCATGTCCTCACAGCAGAGCGGATGAGAGGGACACCTGAGGAGGTCTCTGTAGTGGACGGTGAGTAAGAGGTTGGAGAAACAGGCGAATGACCTGTGACGACATGAGCACAGATTTAGACTTAATTTTTATACATACATATATACATACATACATTATATGTATGTATATGTATATGTATATATATATATATATATATATATATATATATATATATATATATATATATACATATATATATATATATATACATACACACACATACACACACATACATATATATTATACATACATGCATACGTACGTACGTATGTACATATGTAGGTAAGAAGAATATATAATAGAAGTTTTGAGTCAAGATTCTGATGGCCAAAACTGCAATTCACAATAATATCATGATGATTATTATAATTAGTAACTTTTTATTTATGAATTAATCATGAATACATTAATTACATTAATTAGTTTAATCTTAAAACAACATTTATAGTATTGTACTTTGTTATCTGTGAAAATAACAATAATCTAGAAGATATCATTACGGTTAAGTAACTTTTCTCTGAGTATTCTGGTGAAACAATTGCAATTATCATGATTATACAAAATTGTCAATTCTTTTTTATCATGATAAACAATATTATTGTTTATTGTCCCATCCCTATTTGCTTGAGAACCAATTCAGATGTACACCTACAACAAGGTCAAGAGGCAGCAGCACAAGGAAAACGCAAAGAACTGAACACTAAATACTAAGTCTGCAATGTTAACACATTTTCAAGTGTGATATATTGCTAAAAATATACATTATAAACAATAATATTGAAATTACCCCAAAAAACTACTGTAAAAGCAAAATATTGTTTAAAAATGTATAAATATAAATAAACAGGAATGGAAAGAAACACTTTAGTATTTCATAAGGCTTTATAATGAGTCGTACGTTGTTTATGCAACCCTCTACAGCTCAATTCTATAATAGTGCAGAAAAATAACAAAAGGTTCCCCACTAGTACAAAGAGAAAGTACTAATAAGTATAGACAAAAATGGGATGAAAAGTTAAGTAGGCCTAATGCAGAAAATATCTCCATTAGGGATGGGCATTCGAAGAAATTTTCTTAATCGATCGTCGGAAGAATTAACGATCGATTATCGATTAATCATTAACGTTTTTATATTAAAATGATCATCATTATTATTACTATCTGTACTACTAATCTGCATAAATAAATTCAACTTTACGCATATAAACCGTAACGACTTGAGCACATCAATCCGTTTGAGATTATAATGTGTTTAATTCAGTTTTGCGCAACTCTCACAGAAACGAAGCATCGAATTTGCATAAACTCAGCGAAAATAAAACTACAGCTCTTTCTGTTGGATTAGAAGACATGATTCAGTGGAATACAGGTTAGTGTGACCATATTTGCGTTTGTCAAAACCACACATTTAGGCATGTCTAAATTATTTGTATCAAGTAGTGTCCTCTGTACATGATGTCTGATGCTGATTTTATCTGTCTCTGTATTCTTCAATGTCTCTTTTGCTCAAACACAACAGAGCGAGAAGGAAAAAGGTTGTGAAGGAAAAGATGCAAAATGCATACAGTCTCAAGTTATTTGTATTTAATAAATTGTTATTTAAGAGTTGTCTCATGTGGAACCTTTATGTGGTCACAAGTTGAATGCTTGTAGAAACTTTCAAACTTAAATATATAACCATTATCTTGTAATGTAATGAGTGATTTTTACTTAAACACAAGAATTACATGCATGCGACTGTTTAGACATATGAAGGTGAAGGCAAATGAAAATTTAGATTACAGATGCCAAAATAAGGAAAATCTGTCAGCATAAACAAAGTGTCCACACTACTAAATATGCAGTAGTGGTACAGTAGTGGTACAGTTGTTGTCACACAATCCTGGCATGCACCTGCAAAGCCCATACTGGCAGTGGTTGCAGCACAGAATTCTCATATAAACTAACTGCATTGGTCGTAATTAACTAACTTTCTTGAAGTTTCAGAGATTGTGAATGTGGCAGAAAAAAGCCTGAGTCTTTTACCGGATTTAGAAAGCTCCATATTGGCAGTAGAAGTGGATTTATTTAGTTGAACGAGGTTGCAGCTAATCAAAACTGAGCATTAATTACGATTCAAAAACTGTAAATTTGTGTATTGTAGATTAGCATTATAGTGTATTATTATGCAGAAAGGAAGTAGTTTGAAGAGAAATTATCATGAATGCTTTTTGCTAGACACTGTTAATTTGCCTTAACATGAATTGCCTGCTTAGAAATATCGATTTTAGAAAATAAAATCACAAACTTCACAAATTTCAGGTGGGTGCAGAAGCTCTACAGAATTGCTGGGGAAAAAAGACCCTGCTGTACCACTAGTAGATGCTGTTTTTAATTAAGTTGAGCTGGCCTAAAAGAAGTAAACACCTCTCACCTTCATTGTTCCTCCACATCTCCCTGGCGTACTTATCAGATGAAGTCAGATCAGATATTTGAATGTTTAGGCTGGATTTGTAGTCATCTAAAAGAAACATATGCAAAGTTACTCCTCAACACAATACATAAATAACAAATAAAATGTTATATTTTTTTTTAAAGCAGAGATAATAATCTAGTCATCAAGATTTTTAGTAAAAAAGACAAAACTAGGACCACCAAGCTGTGTGACAGATAAAGCTTTTTCCTATAAAGCTCATGATCAAATCTGCCAAGTTTGTAGTAGCAATGCAAAATGTCCCTACAAATGCATTAGCCAAAACAATATAAAAAAAGTAAACAAAAGAGCTGTGGAACAACCTGATAAGCTACAGGTTTGCTACTGGCAAATCCATTTATCACACCTAAGTGTCAGAATACTTTTGAATAAAGACTGACCGATATGGGTTTATCGTAGGTTCATGACTCCACAGAAACTGATGGCTGGTCTTTATTATTTTCCCAAATTCTATAATTAAAATTTACTACAAACTTACTCACAGCCCTTTTTGACCACAAACCTATAAAAGAGCAGTGTAATCAGGTTTTGTGCAGTTATCTTTGCTCATTAAAGTGTTCAAATAAAGCATTATGTCTCTTGTTTAGGCAACAGCAAATCGACTAAACATTGACCTCTGCTTGAGATTCAAGGCTGACAGCCTATGTGTTAAAAAGTATCAGCTTGATATATTGGCCAGCCAATATAATAAGTTAGAAATAATAAGTCTAGTATGAATTAATAAAATGCCACACACTGTTGTTGCTGAATGAGGTGGATCCGCTCTCCTTCATGGTCTCATGGCCACTGTCAGACAGGGTCCTCTCCCGCTTGGAGATGTGGGGCTTCTTTTTGCTCTTGCGGGTGCTGATGCGGATGATGCCCCTCACCAGGCGGCACTCTGCCTCCTGCTCGTCCATCTGGTGCTCTTCAGCCAGGGAGTTGATGAGCTGGTTGATGTCTTTGGTCTTCCTCAGAAACACAGAGTCCGTGGTGCAGCGAGCCAGCTCTTCAATCTGATACTCCGAGTACAGCTCCAGTAGCTTCTTTGTGATGAGAGAGTCCACATTCTCTACGTCCTCCTCCTCCCAGTCGTCAAATACCATGGACTGATGCAGAGACGAGTGGCTGAAGTGAGTGACCGCTCCAGTGGAGGACACACAAGAGGACAGGGGTCGAGGCTCATCCGGGTACTCAATGGACTTTTCTATTCTGATCCCACCAATGTGCACGTCATTTAGCCAGTCCTTACCATCCTCTTCGACATCTTTTGTCTTGGTGTTTCTGAGACTTATTTTTTCTGGCTCATCTGGAGAACTCTCATTAGGCGCGATGCAGGGAGTGAGGGTGGAGCTCTGGCAGAAACGGTACAGGCCACAAGTCAGGACTGTGCAGAAGACACTGCGGCAGCGTTTGGGTGAGGTGCAGGGGTTGCAGCTTGGTGACACGGAGGTGGGTTCAGCAGAACCAGGGATGAAGCCGATGGTTTCACACTTGTTGCCATTGGCATCCCTCGGGTCGGCCTTATGTGTGGACTTGGGCTCTTGAGAGTAAGGTAAAGTTTCAACTGGGTCCACGCAGCGCTCCTCATAGGATGACCTCTGGCTGATGCTGTGGCTGAAGGCATGCCTGGAATTGCCTGACCCAGAGGACCGGACACCACCACCGGCACTGCCCACTGACATGGCTCTGACAAAACACAACAAACAGGCACTTAACAACTCTGAATGAAACACTGTTGTACATTTGATATGTGTTGTACATTCTAAATCATATATTTTATGTCACATTTTATTTATTTATTTACTTTATTTTACTTTTATGAAACTTGTCTCTCTGTCTCTGTCTCTCTCTCTCTGTCTTTTTTTTTTTTTTTTTTTTTAAACAAAACCAGAACTAACTTGCTACAACCTGAGGGTGCCTCTCTGGTAAACAAACATAGCCCATGAAACAGCTATCTGCAGGTGGCATGAAAAGCAGCCCAGCTGGTTCTCCCATTTATAAGTCAGATGAAAATTCGGGGATTTCTTAAATAAAACAGGTGTTCAGCAATAGAAGACATAATTCAGTGACCAAAATAAATATGTGGCTCTGCTGGTACTTTTAAAAACATTTAGGAAAATGCGCTGTTGCTCCACAGTGACGTCATGGTGGCAGGTCGGGTCTGTTTACAGTGCGCTACTTGTTCGTCTACTGCATTGTTGATCAAAGAAAACAAATGTCAAGGAGAAGGTTAGCCTAATGCGGTCCGTCACTTAAAGTTAGTCTACTCACGTGTGAGTGAAAGCTGACGCGTTTAAAATAGTCAGCCCTTAAGAGCTTAATTATTTTCACTTTCATGGCGACATGTCATTGTTACTCTTCCTCCATTAGAGGACCTACATATTTCTGACCAAACGTGACTCACCGTCGAACAGCTTGCCCACACCGCAGACGCACTGCTCTTCAGGGTGATACAGGCTTATTTTAATCCATCTTTGCCTTTGTGAGAAGTCTCTTTGCGAAACGACACTTAAACCAAAGTTTTTAACCTAAATCCGTGCTACCTGCGCGTCAAGGTGGAGACGCGCACCAGGTAGTGAAGACGGTCAACTTCCGTTGTAATGCCTCAAAAACAGGTTTCAAAATAAAACGCCATGCTTATTTATTGTATTTATTATTAATGTTATTTTTTATGAGCAACTCATTACAATTGTTTCTTGATAATACACCAGAGGATAAAATGTACGCTATCTTCTTTTAGGAAAACGGCCACTGGTAACAAAGTTGCAAGAGGCTACTGGTAGGCGTATTTTATTTTGGATAGAAGTTAAACCTATAGCTCTGCTTCCGGAGATACCATACAGACACACGCACGCACTCACGCACGCACGCACACACACACACACACACACACACACACACACACACACACACACACACACACACACACACACACACACACACACACACACACACACACACACACACACACACACACACACACACAAATTGTTACCTGACAGGCTACCTGTTGCACGTGCAGTAGGCAACTCAGGGTAGTAGAATCATTTTCAGTTTAAATAAGCCTATTGTCCACCTTTATACTTGAAGCCCATGCTTGTGGTATTTGAAGTCTTCTGAGGACTCCTCAGGGAGTCCAGAAGGCCACTATGTGTTGAATGGGGTACTGTGGGGTAAGTTGATCTTGGTCTCATAAGAAACAGACTAAACAAATATTGACAATTATATTTCATAAATAGACATGCAATACATTCTTAAAGGCTATCGTTTTCATGGGATGCCTGGGTTTATAAGAACAATGTAATTTTCTTTTCGGTGCTTTAGGCCCAGGTATAGGTCTGTATGGATAAAAACTAATAATAATAATAATAATAATAATAAGGTAGACTATATTTTACTTTGAGCTGCATATTTACAAATAAATAAACAAACAAATAAATAAAAATAGATGGGCTATTAAACCCTAGAATTAACTGTTTTTGTTAACGCCAACATAAAATGTAACGAGAATGTTTATCATGTTTTATCTGCCACCAGGGGGCATGTAGGAACTGTTTTTTTTTTTTTTTTTTTTTAAGATAAAGCTCAAGCGTTTTTACTTCGGTTTTTCAAAAAAAAAATAAAAAATCTCGTACTTTAAAATCTTATCCTTCCTCCGCAGCGAAATGACTATATCAGCATTGTTTCTCTAGGCCTATATACTCATAGTCGAACTTTTGATTATTGTTCTTTCAATTCTATTTTAGTAGTCAGATCTACTAACGCTGTATTTACTGAGTATTTATTAATTTATGTATTTATCCATCCATTCAATCAATCATTCAAAAGCCAATTAAAGCACACATTGGTAGTTTGTGGCTTATTTATTTTAAATGAATACGGCTTGTTTTTCTTCTAACCAACCTCTTCAGAGCATATGATTTAGCATGAATAACTCAATTACAAATGTCCTTATCAATAATCTATTGTGAAAGGGCAGCGGAACAGCTTCTCCTGCCGTACCTCGTGAGCTGTGTAGGATGCTGACCATAGATGATGCTGACGGATACAGAACAGATGTAGAGACACAGATCTAGTTTGTGACAATAGAAACTTCCAGATAGCGTTAGTAAATTGACAGTTTGATTGCTTATAACATACCGTGACTTTACATAGCAAGTTAAACTAAATGTACCCGGATTACACAGCTAACTAGCTAACCACGGTAAGGATGCTTTAACCGTGCGCATCTGGACAATCCAATCTGATGCCAAACCTGAAACGTTGTTTTCTTTACGCGTGACTTGTCTGAGAGTGGGTGAAAATGGAAACCAAAATAAACCAGAATTTTAGTTTACGTGGGAAATAAGGAGATGCTACCGATCGTGGGATATTTTTGGTGTTCACTGCTCAATGACTTGTGCAGCATTAGCTTGTATTCTCATCGGAGTTGCGACATTTGCTCCCCTAATCCCTCATAAACACGGCTGTCGGTGATGCTGCTGCTGGGACAAAGAAACCAAAGTACGTGACAGGAGGGGAAAAAAAACGACATGAAAAACGATTATCAGCAAATAGACCCAAAGACACTTCCGATGCCCGCTCCGAGTCATCCTCCATCCGAGCGCGAAGCCCGGGAGGAGGACGAGAGGCAGCCCGAGAAGCAGAGGAGGAAACCCCGAAGGAAGTGGCAGGTGTTCCCCGGGAGGAACCGCTTCTTCTGCGATGGACGCATCGTTATGGCTCGGAAAAGTGGTGTCCTGCCTCTTACTCTAGGGCTGATCCTCGTCACCAGTGGACTTTTCTTTGTGTTTGAGTAAGGTTTAACGATTTCTATTGTTGCATCAGTGGCCTTGTTCATAGACAGTCTGATTTCTGGACCTTTGACATTACTTGACGGTCCCATATTTTGTTATTTTCAGTGCTGATTCCTCGTCACAAACATTTCTAGAGTTGTGTTTTGTTTCACTCACACATTCACACAGCCCTGCACAGTTACGGTGCGTTCTTCTCTCAGACAGAAAACACTCTGTTCCACCTTGTGATGTCATGTGGCAATACAGGAAGTGCTCCACTGTGTTTTTAAAGTCCATGCAACTTCACGAGAATAATTTGGATCATTTCAGATTTGGAATTGCCAATCTGCTGAACAAAAGGTAACTTGAAAACTACCACTTCGTGAGATCACAAGGTGGAGCAGAGCATTTTGAGCTTTGTAGGTGTAGACTTTAATAATAAAGACTAACTCAAATGTGTGAAGGAAAAACTAAACGCTACTCCAAGTATACTTCTGTGGAGTTAACATTCAAACATGGCTTAAAGCTCACAAGAGTCAAATTTACTTAATATAGGACCTTTAAATGGCATCTAATCTGTAAAATCTGATGTGAGTAATCAAAGGGAACATGATCAGAAAGTAATTTATATATACTGTACATAGAGAGAAATACTGCAATAAACGATAACATGTCACTGACATAATAACAATAATGCAAGATAATCCCAGTGAACCATTTTTAAATAGACCGTTCCATTCAATAAACCTGAGCTGCAACAAGTAGAAAGAATATATTAGCCTTATAAGTGACTTATTCAACCCTTTACACCTAAAATAATATTGTATTACCACAAAAATACCCCATATTTCCCTACTTTTACAAAGAAAATGTACACACGAAAAATATTCAGCCCTAAAATATATTGTTCTTTAGCTTTCATATATTGAACGATAAATCAATAGTAATTATCATGACAGGCCTATATCTAACTGAGACTCTTGAACTGTTAGTTGGAGAATTTTTAGTCTGCTCTTTCTTAACCAAATTCTTCACAATTGCAACATACTGCCTATGAAAGTGTGCTCTGTCTCCTGGGACTAGTCACAATTACAGCAGTGCATGTTAATTAAAATGTCTCTCTGGGCTTTTTTAGTTTCAACTGTTAATGCTATAACTGCACATTACCCAGCACTTATGTTCCTATTTTATGTCTGTATTACAGCTGCCCCTTCTTGGTCCAACATCTGACCATGTGTGTACCAGTTATAGGAGGGCTCCTTTTTGTCTTTGTTCTCATCACACTACTGCAGACAACTCTGAGTGATCCAGGAATCCTGCCCAGAGCCACACCAGACGAGGCTGCGGACATCGAGAAGCAAATCGGTATAACTGACCAGTTTAATGCTAATATCTGGCACTGTAAAACTTTTATGGCATACTAAGAAATTTATCACCATAGAACTTTAAACGGCATTATGTTACCTTTTTAATTTCCTGTAAAGAATGTGATCCCCCAAAGCTGACTGTCCAAGGCTTTTCTTCTGTCTTCACTCAAAGGAACTGACACATAATGAATTTGATCTAAACACAAGGTCCCTTACAATGTTACCCCATAATATTGAGGTAAATAAAAGTAAAAAAAAAATAAAAGGAAACATACATTTAAAGAAATTAATTATACTTTTCTATATTACAAATACTGATTAAAGAAAAAAATATTACGTATGTTTTCATCATTGTTATTAATGCATTTCATCTATAAAATGTCCCACAACTGCACATATTAACAGCATTCAAGTGTGAAAAAAATGTTAGGTCCAGTTATACTGACAATATTTACAATTTAGAGTCATATTACGCTGTTTTCTGATTTATGTTATGATGATGTTTCCTCATCAAAAACACACATTTTTAACACAACACTCTGCATATTTAGTCTGTGTTCTTCTCTAAAATGAAAACATTGTTTCACCTTGTGAAGTCTTTTGGTAGTACAGGAAGAGCTCCACTGTGTCTCCACTCCATACACCTTCACCAGGATTTGGATGATTTCAATCTTGAAATTGCCTATCTCTGCTAAACAAAAGGCAAAAGATAGCTGATAACTTGAAAAATACCTCTTCATGATATCACAACAGATCATTTTCATCTTTAGAGATACAGACAGACTAACAATAAAGGATTACTCACATGTGTGAATGAATCACAGCACAACTCCAGGTATGTTTTTGATGAGGTAACAGCATTTTAACATGGCTTAAAGCTCACAAGAGTCATTTTTTGTAATATAGGACCTTTGAAGTATTATTGGAGTTAAAAACTCAGCCTAGAAATGAAGACATCAACAAATCATTCAGTAAAACATGTGCAAATTGTATTGTCAATCAGTGACACCAATGCAGCCATTTTCAACAAAACTGTATGGATGCTGTGTGAGGTGGGCATTCATTGGTTTCAGTTTCCCATTACATGTAACATTTTAAGAACTTTTCGCATTCAAAAGATATAGCATTTTGTTTTAAATAGTTCATCAGTGTGACAACAGTCACTAATTGCTATAGCCATCAAACTGCATGTGGACTTTTTAAAGATTGTTCCATGGGAGGAATAAAAAGTGGTGATGGACAATAACATTTTTCTATTGTATTTTGAGAGGCACAAGATGAAAATAGTCTCAGCCCACATTCAACCCACTAAACAATAGCACTGTCAAAAGTTGGATTCTTGAACATTTTATTTTATGAGACACCCACTCCCATCCTAAGTTTAGACTGCAGTAATACAAAGTACAATCCCTGTTATCTTGTATGTTTTGAAGGCACTGACAGAACCAGTACATATTTACCACAGCAACCACTAATGAGCTGTCTTTTCTCTTGCTATTTTTCAAGAAGTTTAAAGTGCATCTTCATAATAATTACACAACGTCAAAGATGAAAAGAACAAAAATTTGGAGAGCTGCTGTTGCATTGGAATTGTTGTTGGCTGAGAAAAATAGCTAAAAATGTATTGCTACAAAACTGTGATGAGCTGTGAATAAAAAAACAAAACAAAACTGTTATATGATGATTTATTTTAGTCAGCCTAGATAGAGTGATTTGTTTCGTCAAAAGGCAAAAAAAAAAGATTTAAACCACAATTGTTTTGGCAATTTTGTTCATATGAAAGGTTCATATGAAATTGTTTGTCTTGTTAATTAAGATTGGGGTTGAGGGTTTATCAAATAGGATCAAGCAGCAAGTTAGATTTTTTTGACCAACAACCTGTAACAACCTGTACCTTCTATATACATAAATCATAATAATATCATTCCTCTCCCCTCAGATGAGTCCAGAAACAGCAGCTACCAGTCCCCACCACGCACTCGGGAGGTTGAGATCAACGGGCAGGTGGTTAAGCTCAAGTACTGCCCCACGTGTAAGATGTTCCGCCCGCCTCGCACCTCTCACTGCAGAGTGTGTGACAACTGTGTGGGTGAGCCAACTCCGGCCTCTGCTCCCACACCCATGACATTTATACAGCTTAAATAATGAACCACGACTCCATAGGGTGACATTTAGCATGGCCATTACTGCTGTCTAAACACTAGACAGTGTGGTGTGTTGTTAGGGAAGACTTGCTATGCTAACAAGGCAGTATTTTAGCTTTTAAGGGTCCTAATTTACACAAAATGGATTTTTGTGAGCTTTAAACCTTGTTATAAAGCTCTTACCTCCTCAAAAACATGCCTGGATTTGGGTTTAGATTCATTCACACAACCCTGAGTAACCTTGGGTTATTAGTCTTTCTACATCCCCAAAGCTCAAAATTCTCCGTTGTACCTTGTGATGTCATGACGCGGTAGTTTTCAAATTAACAGCTACCTTTTCCCTTTAGTTCAGTAGAGATTAGCCATTCCCGATCTGAAATTATCCAAATGTCTCTAGTGAAAGTGTATGAAGTTTAAAAACACAGTGGAGCTCTTCCTGTATTGCCACATGACATCACAAGGTGGAGTGTTTGAGAGAAGAAATAAGTGAAAATGCAAGGCTTGTGTGTTAAACGTGTGAAAGAAACAAAACAAAATTCCCCATATGTTTTTGATGAAGCATCTTTTTATGTCAAATTAACATACCTTTGGAAAGTGACTGAATGAACACAGTATTTCACAATTTTTGGGTCATTTTGTCAATTATTGTACACAGTCTTGTGTAATCTTTTCATAATAAATGTAACACTAAAATCTTACATTGAGGCATCTGTACAAAAGAAAAAACAGATTATTTTTGGAAAAGTTATCTTATAAATTGCTCTTTTTGTCCACAGAGCGTTTCGACCATCACTGCCCGTGGGTGGGGAACTGTGTGGGAAAACGAAACTACAGATTCTTCTATTCCTTCATCGTGTCTCTGTCCTTCCACACAGCCTTTATTTTTGGCTGTGTGACCACACATCTTGCTCTCAGTACGTTATTGTTCCATATATTTTAGGATTCTGTTACCTTGGCTAGCATGGTTGAATCCAGAGATTAAAATAGTTCTTACATATTCACATGAGCTTTTTCTTTTTAATTATAGTGTATAGTCAATTTGGTGTTTTCAGTATTTTCTGAAAATATGTGTTACATTATCGGGTGATGCATTTACATTATAACACTGGAGAAAGAGAAAGAAAAGCACTGTAACAGAAATTAATACATTTTGTACATAGTTCCCACAAAATTAAGAATATGATTTTTGATGTTTGTGTAGTTTGTAGTAATAATTTGATTTCATTCTTTTTAAAATTTTCCTCCAGGGGCTCAGGGTGGCAAGGGACTTGTGTTTGCACTTCAAGAGAGTCCGGGCAGATATCCTTTACATAACAAGCTCTCCATCAGCTTCAGTAGTAATGGCTTTATGTCTTATCACATTGATCACACTGTCGATGTCCTTGACTGTGCCTTTCACTGCAGTGGAGCTGGTTGTGTGTTTCTTCTCTGTTTGGTCCATTGTGGGCCTCTCAGGCTTCCATACTTACCTTGTAGCTTCCAACCGGACCACCAATGAAGATGTAAGAACTGCAAGATATGCTGCGATTCACAGATTTAATTTGCTGATACCCTTTTAAAATTATATATATATATATGTGTATATATATAGTATATATATATATATATATATATATATATATATATATATACTTTTTTTTTTTTTTTTTTTTTTTTACTCAGATTAAAGGCTCATGGTCGGGGAAGAGTGGAGGGGAACCGGTAACAAACCCATACAGCCACAGAAACATCTGTACAAACTGTTGCTCCATCCTCTGTGGACCTATGCCCCCCAGGTACACCCCACTTTCCTAACAGACTGTGTGTAAATAATGTATTGGTAGTGGTGGCTTTTCACTATCCATAGGAGGTGTCAACAACTGTGTAGCTCTTTCTTGTGATGATGTTTATGGTGATGGGCACTGCAATTTTCACATAGATGACTTGTTTCTTTTATTATGTTGTTTTAGAAGAAAATGTCAAAATTATAACAGGTGTCATAGATATAACTATATAACAGAGACAAGCACAATATGTCTTTTTGAAGTATTGGGAAAGCAGTTAAATTTGTGATTTATGTTAAAGTAGGATTCTGTTCAGAGAGCAAACTGTAAACAGCTCCAGGAGCATTAACATTTCAAAAAAGATCGGTGTAAGAACTGCTAAACTATTATAACAATTTCAGAGCATGTTTGTTAGTCTAAACTACAGACATAACAAGATTTTTCAATAAAAAGACACAATATTATGTTCTTTGCAGAGGACATTCTATTATCCAAATGATTTTTGCAGTTGTGTTTTGATGATTGTGCCAGTTCAAATTGTGATTACAGTTAAAATGCAATATATTTAATAGGCCTAGTCCCGTCATACCAGAGTGATTTTGGAGTCAGTTTAGAAAAGTCCTAGTAGTAATATTTTTGAGTGAATTCGTCGACACCTTTCTACTGTGTCCCTGTCTGATTTTGACGGACTGCTGTCTGTCTAATGAGGTTGTCTGTTGTCCTAGTTTGATCGACAGACGAGGTTTCCTGCCTGAAGACAAATATGTGCAGACAGGAGCTGGTGGGGACATGGAGCTGCCTGCACTGACCACTAAGAATGAGATAAATGTGGTAGGAAAGCATGCCTGCCCGTCTCTCTGTCCGTCCTGCTGTCTGACCTATGTGTCCGACCCCTGCTTGCCCCGTACAAACTGTTCCTGCATCAACATTGGTCTTCCTGCATGCTTTTTCTCTCTGCCGAATGCCTGAATAGTTCAATAGTACAGTGTTAGTGCTAGTGTAATTTATATATCGATTGATCCACATATTTGGGTCTTGCAACCATATAGCAATATATATCTGCATAGATGCATGGACAATGTGGAGTGTGGTCAACTTATAGGAGAGCGTGTGTATAGTTGGCTTATTCATGAGGTGTAAGTGATAAAAAGTACATAACAATTTACTCAATAAAGACAATATTCTGTCTATTGAAGCTTGAAAAGTCCACAATATGGTGCCCATAAGAGGATTTTTTTTGTATGATGAACATATTTATACCCTAGAAGACAGAAGACAAATCACAATGCAACTGAGTTGTAGTGATGATCCATTAGGGGGAAAAACAAAAATGTTCAAGGTTAAACTATCTAGAGCTTTATGTATCACTAAATGTACAACGATTTGAATATAATTTAATTCCTATTTGGTTTACATACCATTTCCATGTTTTCCGTTCTCATACTGTAATGTGTTCAATACATCAACATTCATTGCACTCAAATTTTTGTCCTTTATCCGTTTAAGTTTATTTTGTATTCATGCCATGTCAGATTTGGAAGAGCTCTGTCCCAGGCGTCTTGCATTGTGTGCGGGTGCAGCCAGTCCTAACCTGCTCTTCTGTCTGTGGTCTGTCTCTCTGCCTGTGTCCTTCGCTGACACCAGGAGGAGAAGTGTCTCGACTTTGCTGCGGTCTGCACGGCCTGATTAGCTGCATTTAGAGCAGGAAAAAACAAAAGCCCTGAGTGTGGTAAGCCCGGGTTCCAGTGAGGGATGCAGTGTGCAGACTCACTGTCTCCTCTGCTCCTCTTGGCTGCTCCTCTGCATGGCTTTATTCTTAGTGTAGTGTGGCACAGTGCATCATGTAGCACAGCATGGATGCACAAAGTGTCCACACTGCAAATTTGTCAGAGTAGCTTATTTGCGTTATGTTATCTGCCACTTACTCTACCAGAAGCAGTTTTCATGTCACTGATCCGCACAAAACCTCAACACTCAACACTCAGTACAGACCAAATATTTATGTTCTGTTCTTTTGGTTGAGAATTTTGGCAATAATAATAATTCTCTTTTCCAAGTTTATCCTCAGAATTGACCAGACTCTTTGAAACCTATTGTTCATCAACTTGTCTGGGTGACTAAAGGACCTCAGGTTATTTTATTGTAATCCATCTATTATAGTTACACTTCAGCAAAAAGTGACAGTTAGTAAAGTCTGGAAAACATGTTGCGAGAAACATGTAGACATTTATAAGCTACAGTTTTAGTTATTTTCTATTATTTGCATGGGATATTCCATTTCTTTCTGACACACAAAGAGTATAGTGGTTCTCGATCCTCCATGGCCAAGTGTGGAAGTGGTTTCTTTTAAAATAAATTCTGTATTCATTCACAATTATAAGATGATGAAGCTTCCTCATCTATGTGTAAATTAATGCATAGATATGTCTAACATCAAACCCTTGTTAACCATCTGCTGGCTTTACTTCCACCTTTTGTATCCTATCTCACTACATGTCTCCTCTCTTCCAGTGCACACAGGGCACTAAAGTCCTTCTGGAGTCTGCCGCTCGCTCGCCGCTCCTGTCCAGCTCGTGTCCTCAGGGAAAATCTCAGTCAGTCCACACCTGCTCGGACAACCACCTCACCGTGCACGCTGACCCTGCTCCAGAGCTATCCAACATTTCTCCCGTTCCTGCTCAGGCCTCTCCCCCGCGCCAAATCAAAACTCACACTTCTCCACCACAACGAACCAAAACTCATTCATCAAAGAGGAAAAAACACACAGCTTTGCACATGCCCAACTCTAGCCTTGAAGATCCAGCGCCCCCTACCTCTGTGGAAGTAGACCACCACCACCATCACCACCGGCATCATCATCGCTCCAAACGAGGTCCACGGCACTGATTGAATCACAGCTCTGTGCTTGCAACCTCTGAAATGCATGCTATATACTTATGTTCTCCCAACACTGTTTCACAAGGCAAATTAATTGTAAAAGTTACGTTTCCAGAAAAGAAGAATATTAAGAATTCAAAGGTCTTCCAAAAATTGCTGCATAGCATATCGAGATATTAATACCTTGCCTCCATGGCGATTTTATTGCTTTGCCCTGGAATGTTCCACAATATGGCATTCAGTTATTATTATATATTGCATTTTTTTTTTTACTTGCTATTTTTATTGCCCAAACATACACGCATTCTTACTGTGAGAGGGGTGACTTCACCAGTGACTTGGCCTAGTGGTGTCATCTATTTGTGTACATGGAGATAGATAATTTTAATGCCATACTGAGGACCATCCTAGACAAGGCAATGACATGTATAAATCAGACCCTCTGATAGAAAAATGTACCTTTAAATTTAAATGGGCCTAATTAGTAAGAACATAATTATAGGCTAGAATTTACTGAAGTAAATCTTGTAATTTTAGGTAAGAATAGCCGTAATAATTAAAACTTTTGACAGAAAAAAAAAAAATCAACAGTCAAATATAATAAGTGATTCAAGATCCTGAATGCCAAAAATAATCTAACGTCCTTATCCAGAAACTATAGGTCTTAACCAACCAAACAAGTCTTCCTTTTATCAACAGCCCCACAGAAATCTGCTCTAAACCGCCTTAAGATGGGGTAGAATCGTCCAAGAGTTGAACCCACCACCTCTTATCTATTATTATGTCTTGAGCTGGAAACATAACCATGCAATTCCAGAGACTGTCCTTTTCTTCCTTGTCCTTTCTCTGGGAATGGCAATCACTTAAATGTGGTTTTAAAAAACACCAAAGGAAAACAATATTTTTTGTTTAGGTTTGCATTAGCTGTAGAATGGAAATTTTCTCTTTAGGGTCACATATGCTTCTAACCGTTGATGTGAACTTATCAGCATGTCAGCACGGGTTATTATCTTGACTGTGATCTTGGAGATTGTTGTTGTCTTTGCGGTTGTCAGTGCATTGCGAGGTAAAAGTCCCAATATGGAATTCACATCAGTGGCATCTCCATTATAAAGCGATGAAGGTTAGCCAGAGCTGAAGCACAGAAGGACAGTTTGTGGGGATGAGGTCATCTAGACATGTGCAGTAGGATTTGGGGATTTGGAAAGCAGATTTAATACACTATAGGGACATTTTACAGCTTAACCAGTATCAGTCTGGTGCACAACTGTCACTCTTACCAGACATTGATGTTATGTTTGAAAAATGAGTCAGTTCTGCTACACAGCTTTATTCGAACACAACAGAAGAGAGAAACCAATATTTAGTGAGAGTGGAAAATTCATACCTGCACTTGTCAACTTTTGAAAGAATACTTGTTTTCCTGGCAGTATGTCGGAATAAGGATTGCTGCCCTTTTTCCTTTGATTTGACTTTGGTTTTCAAATTAGTTACACTTATCATGTCAAAGGTATATGCCAAAGCTAACAGGTGGCTAGCAACATCTTGACATATTGCTATAATTAAATCAAAACATTGTAACACAACCTACTGAGGCACTTAATTATACATTTTTTACTGATGTTATGTTTGTCTCTTCTAGCTTGTTTCACTCGATTAAATTAATCAGCATTGGTGAGTCTTAAGAACAGTCTAAGACTGAAATCAAATAGACTAGCTATTGGGTGGATTTCAGGCCTGTGATGTCAGCTACTCTGCGTTCGTAAACCTAGAGCTTGTCTTTAACTTTACCAATTTATGTTCCTTTCTTATTATGAATACTTCATTTTTCTTCTAACCAAGTTATGCCTATTGACACTTACAACATTTTTTCACTCTTTGACACACTGAAATATTCTGGATGGACACTGAAAATTACAACTGAACAAAATTACGATAGTATTGTTATGGAACATTTCCTCTCTACATGCACTTTAATATCCTCATGCCAGTGTTGCAATAAACATTACCTCATGTATTTTGTCTATTGTGTCGCTTTTATCATCTCTGTAGCAGAGGGCACATGGCCATTTTTCTTTTTTTCAAGAGATAAACATCTTTGTTTATCTAGATATTTGGAAGAAAACTAAGATAAGTATTGTAATAAACATGCACTCACTGGAAATGTTTTTGTTTACTTAAAGCATATCTATCTATCATGGAGACATCTAAGCAGCTGATTTCCCCAGGTCAAGCTACAGGTTAGATCTGTGGAGAGGCTACAGTACGGAATGACGTTTTTTTCCAGATATTTTTGAGCGATTCCATGATACAAGCAGAAAAGTTACACAGTACTCCTTTTAAACTTAAATCTTATTGAATAACCAATGTTTGTATTGCTAAAGACATAACTTGAAAAGTATTTGAATTGAAGTAGTAGGTGGTTGTAATGTTGTAATGCAAAATACATTTTCTTCACCTGTGATCAAGTGTGTAAATGGCCACTAGGTGACAGTGATGAGCCACTATCGCGGCTCATTCAAGTCACACTGGCAGAAACATACACTAACTCAGAATCATTTAAAAACGCACTATGTCAACTTTTCTGCTGAGGGAGCACATCTCCTTCTTGTCTCTATAGAGATGATATTGCTGTGCCTGAAATGTTCCACATTATAGCATTACAGTTACCTAGTTTCAGTATGGCTGTTTTTGTATAGCACAAAATACCTGAAATCCTAACTAACTAATCCTAACTTTGAGCGAGGTTGCTTGATCTAGACACATCACCTATCTATCTCTGTGGACTTAAGTATAATGCTACACTGCAGAGCATTCCAAGCAAAGTAAGTAATAACATCTCCATGGAAACAAGCAGAAAAGTTACATATTGTTCCTTTAACATTATCTAATCTGCAGTAGCCCAAAGTGATTTTAATGAATGATAAGGCAATTTTAGGCCTTAACCTTTCAGGGATTGTGGGTTAATACAAGAACAAAATTCTTAAAATAATCTGTACTATATGCTAGGTTTAAGATTGATCATCAAGAATTCAAATGTTATCTGGCTATGGCGATATACAATGTGAATATTTTCCCCCCTACCAATCACTCAAGAGCACACCAGCAAGTCTTGCCTAAGGACACGACATTAGCCTACACACTAGTCCAAGCAGGGTTCGAACCACGGGCCCTTGCATTGGTAAGGAGCTTCAGCCGACCTGATTCTTACTGTCTTTAACTGTGAAAAGCAAAACTAATTCATTTTAGACTGTTTGGTCCAATCATACTGCTCACTTTCACATGTTTTAAACTTTAAAGTGGAGTTTTGTGGTCATGGTAATGTTAACAACAACTAACATGGTAATAGTGCATCAGCCTCATTAAAAAAATTGTATAGAGTAAATCCTGTTGCACCCATTCTAACAACTGAGCTTTCTACTGCTATAATTATGAGCTGTCCAAAAACAAACATCCAAATCTGTTTGTAGACCCTTATCATTTTACAAGCACTATATCATTGTTGATCAAATTGCCCACTTTTCAAGATAATGGGGCAATTTTCAGTTCTGCATTAATATGTCACCCTCAATCACACAGTGCGTCTGTCATCATGAATAAATGTGTCAGCCAGTGGTTTCACTTTAGAACTCTTAATTACAGCCTACACATGGCGGCTGCTGAGCTCTGCATCTGAGTAATTGCTTTTTCTCCTTAAAGACACTTAGAGGCTGCGTATAAACTTCACACTAATCCCTGTTTAGGATGATGCCATTGTCGTAAACACACATCCTATAGATTTTAGTGGGAAAGTGGAGCCGTGTGACGTCAGCACTTACGCCATTTGTTGACATGACGAAAGTGTTGGAGATTAGCTTTGGTTTTCTGGACGGAGCCATGGAATTTTAAGGATTGCCGTTGGTCAGCTGGATATTTTCAGTTTGGGCAGCTGGGACTTGACCTGTCTGCCCGCCTGTTGTGCATATGGGGCTTTTGGGAGGGAAGTGGGGCTCCCCTCCTCCTGCGTAGGCTCTTTGGAATGTCAAGACAAATTACGTATAGCTCAGGGCCAAAAGGAGTCTGCCATGTTTAATGAGTTCCTCACAAGAGTAAATACATGTTTGGGGGAGCAGTGGCAGTTAGCAGATCTCCTCTTCCAGGTCGGCTGCCTGCATCATAAAAAAAAAGGAGGCTATGTTATGTAGTATGGTTGCCAAGGAGATTCCCCCTCCCCTGCTGTGAGGGGGCTTTAGGTTTTCAACACCGTTTACTATCCTGGTGGTATAGCTCTGGAGTTCTGAGCACCTCACAAGACAAATGAGGTTACGTGTCTTGTAGCAAAGTCATGATCAAGGGCATGGTAGTAACATGGGGGTTCAATACACAACTGTTTTACATTACATTAGAACTATCAGTGAGAATTATTAAATGAATATGGTACAAAGTTATAAATCTGAAGCTCTGTTCTGGTACACATTCAGTTTTGAGGAAATTTTACAGGAAGATAACAGTGAGCACATAACAACTACACGTTTAAAGCTACCATATGTACGTTTATTTTATTTACTAGTAGACGGCAGATGAAAACTGGTGTTGTGTGAGAATACAGCTCATGTTAATAAACTATTAGTTTGTCATGAATGATGTCTTTGTCCATGAGTTATAAAGGCTAAATAAGGCATTACTATAAAGTCATACCAAGAGTTGGTTAATTGAAATATGACCAGCTGTTTTACTACACCGCCAAAAAAAAATGTGTTGGTGTGTAGACTGTAGGGAACAATTAACCATGTTCAGCAAGATGGATTCTCATGATATTTGTGAGTTCACAGACTCACGAGAATCCATCTTGCCATGCCACTGCTGGTGAGACAGGGCCCGCCAGGTGGTTGGTGTACCAATGACAGAGCAGCATTGAGGCTTGTGTGGAAGCCAAAGGCAAAGTGCTCAAATGAACCAAAACAAACATGGCAACGCCTCCAGACGTACTTTTGCCTATTTTAGTGTCAATACAGACATATTTGTTTGTG